CGAAAGCTTTATCCACTTTACAGGCAATGTTTTAAATCCAGTTTTCACAGTCATCCAAGTCTATACAATATTTTCTCAAATACAAAGCATACAATTATATCATTACTTGTGTTTTAAAAATCAGAACGACTGCTCTGAAAAGGGACATTTTGAATGGATGGAAAATAGTTACAATACAACCTTCCTATGATGTCGCATGTCTGTTTCATCACTAAATCAGCTGAATCAGGTCTACCTCTTTGCTCTTGTCCTTTGGCTTTTCCTTAATCTAGATCGCATGTGCCAAATTTACAGTATTTTGGCTTCTAAGAGGTGACATTCAATGCCTGTTGAAGGTCTTAAAAAAGAGAGAGCCAGCATGCGGAAGCCCGGAGCATGTGGGATGGCAGCAGTCTTGGTCTGTGTTTTGATCTCACAAATGTAGCTGCAGCATGCCTTGTTTATTTATTTGCTTAAATGGGAATTCAATACAGTGTTTGACCTTCTTTTTAGTTCTCCTACAAAGTACACATGCTTTGGTGTTCATAGAATAAAGTGGAAACTTTACTGTTCATTAAAAATCTACTTCCTTTGAGTACAATAACACTTGCAAAGATGCCAGTAGCATGGTAGTGTATGTAGAAGGACTGTGCTGCGCAGCTTGTATTTGTATTGTGCAGGATTAACGACCCCCCTGTTTGGTCGCAGGCACAGTGAGATATTAAACATTAACTTTGAGTAATTATTCAATAGCTGGATCTCTGTACAGCTATTAACTAACATCTTTACAGCTTTGGGCATAGTGAAGTCAATGCCAGTGTTAATATTTACCTGGCAGCCACACCACAATCCAATTGCAATCAATGCAGTGTGAAACAGACCCAGATGATAGTGTCACATCAGATGTGTATTGGTAAAGTCCACGTGAGAAAACAATCCGGGGGATGTGACGAATGTTATGATGCACAGTTATTGTATTTTCTTTGAGAATATTGACCAAAACATTTTTAGGACAAAGCTTTGATGGTTCACTTTTTTTTTTTTTTTTGCAGACTTCAGAAGATAAGTTCTAAGAAAGGTGTGCTTAGTTTGTTGTTTTTCCTGAGGTAAATATGTTCTCACGTGTTAATATCCCCTCAATGACTTGCATACATTGAAACTGTTGTGATTTGCTCGTGACCGGGTTAAGTATTGCTTTGTATGTGCAACTGTGGTGGTGGCGTTTCCTGTCAACAGCCTGGCTTTGTTGCCCATGTTCAAGGACGAATTGCAGACAGAACTACTTGAAATGAAGTTCTTCTATTCCAAAGCCTGCTATCGGTCAAGGAACTTTTCACTTATCCCTCTTTGCTATACACCAATGTATGTGATGTCAGCGGATACTTGTGCCCCACAGCATACCAGATAAAAAGTTGTACCGTTCTATTTAGCATTTCAGCGAGCTTCATACATTAAGTGTTTTCTGTCAGTTTCTTCTGACTGTAAATTTCAACTATACAATGGATATACACACCCCTGTTCAAATGGCAGGCTCTGGAGGAAACATTTCCATTTTAACCTTTTTGAGACGGTAAGTAAAAATAAAACACTTCATATGGTTGCACAAGTGTGCACATGCAATTCTAAATGATCAACGACAAGAAATCTTATAATTTTCATCTCGTTTTTGCTTGGGGACTAAAATGTCCATCGATTTTAGCCCAGTCTTTACTTAATGAACTACATTTTGGTTTCATCTCCATCGGTCTTTGAAAATGAAATTGATTTAGAGCTCATTTCCTTGTCTGTTGAGTAGAATAACCTTTGGCTAAAGACAAACTGGCAGGGTTTACTTTCTGGACCTGGATTTAACACCTCTATCAGATAGAATTTGCATTTTGTCCATCAATAGGTTTCATTAAAGAGGCTGTTGATCGGGATGAACACTGGCAGTTATATAATAGGTGTGTATGTAAGGATGTATTCACACCTGTACTGTTCGGTCCACTGTAAACGGACCAGGCTTCGTTTCCCAAACTGGTTTGGACCTTTGACGCAGATGTGAATACACACAAATGAATCCTGGTGCAGATCAAGCAACCAAACTGAGACCCACTTTTTGAGGTGGTCCCAATACACTTACAAACTGACTCGGTGCGGTTCGCTACACATCTGAATACAACCCACTGCCGATCTGCACCCAAAACAGGATACGTGTGACTTTTTGGGCTGAACAAGCCACCGTGGAAAATATTAGCCCGTACTAAATGCAGATCATACCTGATCATTTGTCTTCTGTTTAGCCATGTCGCTGCCAGCAAGTTGTTGGGTCTAAGCATGCAGAGTCCACGCTCCTGCGGGTTACTGCATGCATTTGCCGACACTGTTCTACAATTGAGAAACATAGCGTTGCGAAATGAATGAGCTGCTCTTGACACTCAAAATTATTTTGAAGCTCTCATAACAGCACAAATATGCAGAGCAGGAATGCGGCATGTAAAAAATTGCATGTTTGTGCTCTCTGTACTGCCCTCATCATTTCAGTCCAATGAGTGCACCGATTGTCACATGCGGCAATGTGTTTACAGAATATAGTTCACCTGCAAAAACTACAGTGTGAATATGAACTGCATTAAACAACAAAAAAATAAGTAAAGTGGACCAAATGACGGCCATTATTTATGGGCGGAGACAGCTTGTTTCAAACATCAGCCTGACTATGTCATTGAAGGAAGGATGTATGTATGTATAATATTATTTCCTTGCTTACTTTGTCACATTCTGTTGTTACCTACTGTCTGAAAACAGTGACTGATCATCACCAAAATTCATATGCACAGCTTTACTCGTGTCCCCTCCATCCTGTGAAAATATAAAAGCCATCAGCACAATATTTTGTATTTTATTGAGATTAAATGTGAGCTCCGAAGAGGAAAAGCCGTTATCACCTCCACAAAATCAAAATATTGTGTCGACCATTTTTATATTTTTACAGGTTGAACTGGACAAGAGTAGGAATGTGCACATGAATTTTGGTGGCGATTGGTTTAGTTTTCAGACATTTAGTGGCAGAAAGTAATCAGCTGCACATTGCTTATGCGTAAGTAAGTGGGGCGAAACTGGCTTCTGTCTGGCCAGAGATAGACCTCCAAACCGCTATAGGAGTGAAGTACATCCCGGATGGAAAATAGGTCGTAAGCCGGTATGACATGCGCTCATTGATGTGGCCGCTGAGAGTGCGTCAATGTTGCATAGGCAGCTGATGCAGATGTTGGCTTGGCGAAGTTTCAAAGTTGCACTTTGAAAAATCCGGCACATTTATGACCAGGGTTCTAAATTAACTCTTTTGATCAGAGGTCATCATATTGGCTGTTGACTCTCTAAAGTTACCAGCTAAACAGAATTTCCACCAGCCATTTTTTTTTTACCTCTGCCGTTTTTATCCACTTTGAACTACATTCACACTATCTCTGTTCATTTCTCGCACTGGTTGCACCCTAGACTGCAGCATGAAATATCAAATTTTTACAGTCAATGGTCGTATTAAATGCCATTATGTAGCATTACGGCAGAATATTTATTGGAAATGTAGGAGTCAGCGCCAGGGTTACAAATGACTGAGAGCAAAACATAGTGGAGCGTAGGCTTGGCCATCATTTGAATTTGAACGATTCCGGTTCCAAACAATTCTCTATTTCGATTCTTTTTGGGGTGTCTAATCTATGGCCATTTATTATTTGTGGCTCACAGCATCGACTATAATAACACTTGACACGCCCCCTGTCATTTGCCTGCATTGTACTACGGTACTTACCTTCTACACTGAGTGGCAAGGCAGGAGAACAGAAGTTTCTTCTTCATCTTCCTTGTTTTAAACCAATCAGCCATCATTCAATAGAGCCACGGGACAGACCAAAATGGTGAAAAATCATTAATGTTTCTCTTTCTTACCTAAATGTATTTTTTTTAATATGCAGATCCTGTAAAGAAAAATAAATACAATATAGCTTCACAAACCTTTACCCACGCTGACGAATTGGTTCAGTGTTAAATGAAATGAAAGTCAAAGCAGTCAAAAGCACAGCCAGAAATGTTTTAGTCGGGTGGCTGGGATGACACAGTGAATGTGCTTAACATATGCTATTTATTTTTTGAGTTTGCATTCAGATGTCGTACATTTATTCTTTAAATTTGCAATTGGTATTATAAATAAAACGTGGCAGAGTATCAAGAGGTCAAAGAATATTGCATCCATGTGAAAATTGAAGAAATATCTCATATTCACATTTTAAATGACTCTGAGCAGAAAGGCGCTGCAAACTAGCGTTTATCACAACATTCTCTCCTCTTGGTCCAGGATGCCAGTTCAAAACATTGGTCTTATATTCACCGATTCAACTTATCCTGCTTGTTGGTACAACCACCAACAGCGCAACAAGTTCCCAAGCCATGCAATATGTTTTTCAATGCAATGGGGGCTAATCATAGAGTGCAAGCCATTTGATTTTGAGTATCTGCTGATACCGAGTCCCGATTGTCATGTCCCGTTTGCGACAGCAGGCGGCAGACGGTGTTTTCGGGCCGGATGCACACCTGCTACCCATTTGTAATCAGGCACTGGCTTTATTAGGGCCGGCTTTCGTACTTTCACTTGCCGGAGAATTGTTTGCCGTGCCACTGCTTTGCCCATTGTGTCGGTAGTACCTTTTCGCATTTCGCCTTTGTGCGCGAGTTAGTATTCGTAGTTTGTATTCTCGGTGTGTATTATTATTGCGACTAGATCGTTTTTCTCCTTGCCTTCGTTCGAGCGTTTTTTTGTTATTCGGTTCTTTCGTGCTTTTCCTGGTACTCGTTTTTGCCAGCGTTTTCTGTTGTCTCGTTTTTGCGGTGCGGTTTTTGTTAAATAAATCTTATTTTCATACGGAGTTCTTGTTGTTGTCTGCTGTTTCGGGAATCCTTTAGATCACCTTGGTTGCGAGTGAAGCGGGGTCCCTTCCGCTTTGCTCGCAACGTGACACCGATCAACACCTCTGCAATACAATGGAATGGAGAGGAAAAAAGAACACCACATCCTAAGTGTTTCAATTATCTTATTTATTTATTTTGAACGAAGGTATCTCAAGATGAAACCTTTTATATGGCTGTTAATGAACAGTGGTTCAAATAATGAAAAGAACTGAACAATTTTATGCTTGACTTTAGAAATAAAGAAAATTTAAAAATCGAATCTTTTTGAGCCGATACCAATCAGCTGAAAGTCATGTGATCGGCCCCGAGTTTTAACCATGTCCACTGGATGCCTCAGAAATGTGCTTGATGTGATCGTGACCAGACTCAGTCGCTGGTACAGCGGTGAATCTGGTTTTAGGGTGATTTATCTATACACATTTCCATTGAAATGTTGACCAAGAATTAAAGCGCATATTTAGTGTGATGACATTCCTGGTTAAGTTAGGAGGAAGTGATCGAACAACATACTGCATGTTCATTGTCGTTTCATCTTTACCTGCGTGACAAGACACCAACAAAACACAGCACACTCGAGCAGCATGTTGCTGGATTTCCATTGATAATCAAGTGGGCCTCATCATTAGGCTAAGAGATATTTTATGGCCCACACCTTGTTAAAACAGCAAACCATCACAGAGAAGTCATTACTCCATTTGTTAGGCTGTGTGTGTTACCTGTTTAGAAGGGCCCCTGGTGATAGAAGGAACTCGTCCCGTGGCATGCTTGAGTGGAGATCAATAGGCCCAATGTTTGAGTGACCAGCCAACCCTGAGATGTTTGGGGATTCATCACTTTTGTTTTTGTTTATTCAAGTATCAGGTTAATCTGCTTTAGAAATGTCTGCAAGAGGCCTGACCTCTTCCCAAAAGCGACAGCTTACCCCCCTTCTCTGCTGATGAGAGCTCTGCGTGTCCATACTGCACGGGGAAAATCCAGCAATGTATGCTTTATCTCTTAGGATGTGTTATCTACCTGGTGGCTTTAAGGTCCCGTTCACACCAAAGGAATCGCCTTGGGATGAAAAGAAGAAGATTATGTTTTGTGTGAACCGGAGCGCTGCCCTTTGTTGACACTTGTAGCTGTCTGCTTTATGTGGCACTTATAATTTGACGATTTGCATTTCACAATGCTCAAGTTTATGTCTTTGCAGGGAATTGTCTTTGAAGACTTCAGATCTTTGTTGCAATTTCCTAACAACAACCTGGATGATTGTACCGTTGCTAACTGTTACGCTGGTCAACAGGGCCGGAGTGGGACTGACTTTCAGCTTTGGCGTTTCAGGGCTCAGAGCTGCCCACTTTAGTTCACAACGTTTTCACCACCAGCAGCGCAACAAAGTCCCAAGCCGTGCAAGACATTTTTCAATGTGACGAGGACTAGTGATTGCTTAAAAAAGGAGGTGAAAAAAACATGCAAATACATCACTCCATGAAACCAAGTCAACTGTATCAAATAGGAACATTTTAGCTGAGATCTCTTACCGGAAGTCACATTCTCATTTCCCCGTGAGAGCCCTCAGAAATAAGGTGAATAAAATGCTGCATCCGAGGAAGGTGGTAGGTGGGACTTTTCGAACTCCTGACAAGGGGAATTGCACGAGAAGACAGAAGATCTCTTTGAACTGTGAGGTTGAAGTTCTGAAGTCGGAAAAAAAAGGACCCCGAGTTCACGGACCAACTTCAATGTGATGTCACTCGATAATGGCAACCCCAGGGAGGGAGACCCAGACCGTTAATAGCAAAACACAACTGACAAGATTCTAAACATATATTTAGCTTTATTTATTTATTATTACATTAATTTAGTTGTTCACTTAACACAACATGATTTGTACTGACTGTGTGAATGAATAAAATGCTTTGAAGATAAGATATTCCTTTATTTATATAATGGAGGAAATGATGAAGAAGGTTTGCCGGAGCTCAGAATGTGTTGTGATGAACCAGAACAACAAACAATTTATTGGAATCAGCCATCTTTGTTGTTGACATACGCCTCAAATGCTTTGAGGATGGAACTTGGACCATCCATCCATTATCTGAACAGTTTATCCTCACGAGGGTCGTGGACATGCTGGAGCCGATCCAAGCATCCAAGCTGAATTCGGGCAGTAGGCGGGTACACCCTTAACTGGTTGCCAGCCAGTCTCAGGGCACACATACTGTAGACAACCATTCACGCTCACAATCACACCTAGGGAGAGTCAAGAGCGTTTAATCAACCTACCATGGAATTTGGGAGGAAACTGGAGAACACGAAGAAAACTCACGTCTGCACTGCACGTGGAGAATATGCAAACTCCAGACAGGAAGGCTGGGGACAGAATCAAACCCCTTGCTTTATCTCAAAATCAAAGCCGATGTGCTAACCAGTGGAAAAATCTGACTTCCCACCTTCCTCAAATGCAGTATAAAATCTGTGGGCGGCAACCATATCACGTTATCATCCTACAATGCATTGGGCACGTGAAAAACATAGCGGCCGCTATATTTGAAATTATGTTGGAAACAAGCAAGAATTTTTTACAAGAAATTAACAATATGTTTAATAGTAGAGGTCAGTGGTTGTATTTGATCAAAGAAGATTTATCAAATTCTGTTAAAAGAGCAAGATTAAGGCAGGTAACAATTAGATTGGTTTGCTATTGAGATAAATGCAGATACTACTGCAGTTGGCTTGCTGGTTTCGAAATGATTCGCCTGAGATTTGTACGGAAGAGGATTTGGGCCAATGAGATAAAAGTCAGAATCTTGCCAACCTTGTTTTTTTTTCTTCATTGGCCCTAATTCTCTTCCGTAGAATTCTCACTTTAAAGTCAGAATTCTGAGATAAAAGTCAGAATGTTGCCAACCTTGTTTTTTTTTTCTTCATTGGCCCTAATCCTCTTCCATAGATTTGCTACTAAATCTACATCTACAATACATTCTCATCTGGGAAGGCTGCAGGAAAGACATGAAAACTGGGTTTGGGTTATCTGTAATTACAATCAATAATGGATTTCCAAACTGTGCAAATGTACGGATGGACGTGATGAAGTGTCAAATGGAGACAACTATACTACCAAACAACGTGGAACATTACCACCATCTACTGGATTAAAATGGATATACAGTATATTGAAATTTACAGCGCCCCGCCCCACGCCTCCCCACAGACGCTGAGCACTGAACTTTATATTTGTTGTTGTGACCTTTTTCCCAACGAATATTAGACTCGTTGCTTAGCAATTACTGTAAAGACACTTTCCCAAGAGCTGCTTATTGCCTTTATAGATGGAATGTAATGAGGACGGGAGTACAGTATTCAACTACAAATCCCAAGGACCCCTTGTAAACGCAAATTTGATCCAGGCATGGCGCTACACCGGGGCGGGGGGGGGTGCTATGGCACCGTGAGAAACTTGTTTAAAATCAGGAAAGCCACTCCGCACACCATCCTGAGCATTTCATTTTACATTTTGGATTCATTTCAGTTGTTTTTAAAATATCAAGAACTTCTTCTAATCCAATCTCTTCTTACATGTTTATTTTGCACCTGTACTCCGTCTGTGTTTGGGATGGGTGGAGAGGGTAAGGGTGTCCGGAGTCTTAGTTTGCGCTTTCGGTTCAAGAAGTTCGACGAGTACTTTTATAACGAACATGCATGTGCTTAGTTATCATCCCTTCATTAAAAAAAACGATAATCTCCATTATTTTCTCCCCCCATCACACACACACACACACACACACACACACACTAAAAACGGTGACTCCCCCAGCCCCAGGAGAGAAAAAAATTCGGTGCTTTGCCAGTTTGTGTCGTATTTCGGACCAGTGTGGGCAATGCCGCACACAAACATTCTCATTTGTGTGCACTTGATTATAACACTCGCTTCCCCATTACCAGTTTTTTTTTCTTCCGCTGAGCAAATCTACGGTCCCGTTAGAAGGAGCTGTCCCGTCCGCTTGGAGTGTGCCGACACTTAAAAGAGACACACCATCTGGCGCTAAGAACACAGCTGATTGGCTGACAATCCTGTGCGTTCAGACAGATTGTCGTTCAGCTGGAGCTCGAAGAAAAATAACAGCTTGTTTTAAACTAATATTCGCATACAAATTTTCATTGGATCGAGGCTGCTTTTTTAAACGTTGAAATGTAATTGCATTCGCTCGACTAAATTTTATTTGAGGAAGAACGTGAGGATGTAAAATCGACCGTTGATTTGAAAGGATATTGAATTCGCTAATGTTAGCTGGTGTTGAATCGCTTATTAAAAGAGGCTAGTTGGCAAGTATTGTAGTATGTTGCAGTTAGCTTCATGGCAAACTCGGAAATGAGTTTGCGAATGATTACATGAATATTTATGTCATGTTGATTCTAGTTAACAACTTTCACTAACATCGTGTGTTAGCCTCGCGCTATTCGGGTTTAGCACTGCCACTAAGCTACCTCTATCCATTTGTCTCCAAGGTGACGGTGCTTGTGGTTTCGTGCATCAATTTCCGCTTGGTATCTAATCAGCAAGACGTGTGTCACTATCGATCATTCAAGATCAACCGCGGTGTTATCTGGAAGACCTTCCTGTGGATGACTGAAGTAATGGTGCTGGGTGGCCGCCGCCGGGCGGGCCGGTGTTAGGAGCCGGGCACACAGCGGAGTAGGTCGGTCTGGAGATGCCGGAGCGGGGATGCCGCTTCTTCAACACAATGTTGTAGTTGTGGGTATAGAAGAGTGGATCTACCTCTCTGACTCGGCACTTGGACTAGGGAATCAACTTTTCTGCCCAACCTGCAGTGGCACGTATATGGATGGTGGGGTCGCAGTATGCCCACCCCCTCATCTACCACAACAAAACAGACTGGAGGGAGCCGCTGTGCAGGAGAGGGGCCCATGTTTGCCAGCTCTTCCTCTCCTCTTAGCTCCTCTTTCCGGTTTGTCCCGGCTTTCTTTCTGGGTGCAGTGGCAGCAGTAGTGTTCCAGCTGTCATGGGGAGGCTTGTCCCTTACCTCTTTCTTCTTGAAGCTCTTCATTTATGTGTCATTCGCCCTACTGTGTTTCCTGGCTGGGAGCTTTGTTCTGCTTGTCAGGAAGAGTCCTCTCAAAGTCAGCTGCTTTGACAGACACAGGAAACATTCAGTCCAACAGCTGGAGTTCTTCAACAAGCTCATGGTAAGATGTTACTAGTGTCTCAAAGACACAGGTTCCCTCCTTCCACCAACCACAACATTCGGTACACTTGCACAATCAATTGCAGTTATTCCCAGCCCGGGTGCTTGGCTCACTCGTGTGCCACTGGAGATGGTCAGGGGGTACTGTGGGAAATGATCCAATTTTATGAAAAACTTTTATTGATAAATTACAAATATATCTATGTTCGTTTAGGCAGAACAATGAAATGCTCTTCCAATGGATGGCAAAGGGTACAACATATCTCTCTATCCACCTGTTGCCATTCATGCAACAGAATAAGTCATGGCTTCCTGTTTGTATATTAGTTTTCTGTTTGATTCAACGGGCACAGTTTCACATTGGGTTGGTCAGTTTACAAGTAAATCATAATTTCAGTATTCATACTTTTTATGACAAATTGTGTGTCGGTGTGCTGGTAGATTTTTCTATTGTAAAATAGGCTTGGCTCAGTCAAGGTTGGGAAACACTGGTCTAATGAGTTCTAATATAATCTGTAGAAATTTACCTATAAATATGTTGTTGTAGTTTGCAGTGGAGTAGACCTACACAGCATCAGACTCAGTCAAAATTGTGCCCCTCTTAGTTGAATGAGGTAGATTTTAGACATACAATGCAGTGCCGTTCTACACCACTGCAAATAACACATATTGTATGTACCTTGGTTGGCGTGCCGATTAAAACTAACAGATATTATAATTGCAAAAGCTGTTTTAAAAATGTTCACACAAGTATTGATGTCGGATATCGTCATGTGGTGCTGAACTGAATTAATGCATTGGTTTCAATGAGCTCGGTATACATTTCTTCAGGCTTTTACTGAAATTGCTGTATGAAAAGGGACCACATGCATTCATCAACAAAGAACAGGCTTGTGCAATTTGGTTGAATCACTCTAAGAAAAGTGATACTGTCTCCGCTGTCTTGCTTTTATGGTAAAGCAGTGGCTTTGTTTGTTCATTCCTCTGCTCAGTGTCTTATTCATGTTGCTTCTGTGGAAAAGAAGGTCAACATATTTCTTTTACTTTCAGTCTTAAAGACATTGTCAATTGTACATTTTTCGCTGGAGCACATTTCCCGCAATGTTTATATTGCTCTTTTACATTGTCACAGACTGAAGGGAATGAACTGATGTTAACTGTTTTTCCAGACTCGATTTTCTGCCCCAGTTCAAGAATTGAGCCAGAGTCGGAGGGTCGTGGTATCACACAATTTGGACAAAGTCCTAAAGGAAGGTAAAGTAATAATTTAGTTATTTTATTTTTTTGTGTGGCAATGTGCAGGATGAAACTAAAGTTGTACATCACCAAACTTTATATCATTAAAGACACTATAGCAGACGCATATTTGTAGCAAAATGTATTCATCATTCTCTTCAGGAAGATCTACTCCGTATACTGTACTCCCTTTGCTGTGTTTCTTGCATTTCTTATTATGATAAATGTTTTGCAAATGAAATTGGCCAATGTATTTTTCCGTGTTTCTATATCTTAAATGTTAACTCCAGCATAAAATCAGTGTATTTGCACTTCAGTAAAATGTCACTCCTGACAATCCTCTTTTCTATAATTCATCTTGCATACACACTAGTTAATTCAATTTGTTGTGAAATGATTAATCATTTAATCAGCGATTTTCTTTTAATTTTTTTTCTACACCCAAATGATGGTCGTATGACTATGAACAAAATTGCACATTCTGACTACTAGTAGACTTCTATTTGTGTTACAACTTTATGCTGAGCAAATGCCAACTGGCTCTGCTAAATGTCACAACAACCTCAGCTTCTAAAAAAACTGCTGAGTGATGGATCTTTGCTCCCCCATGTCATCACAACCAGACATTATTTTAACACGCCTGCAAAATGAGTTGCGAAACTAAGAATCAGTTGCCTTCCTTATTTACACAATGGGTGTGTATTTAAACCTGCTGCGTGTGTTTGGGAAAAAATACTATTATCATTAAAAAAATACTACTACTGTCAAGGTATTCTTGTTATCATTGTAACCACAATAAATACATCTCCAGGTTTTAAGGTCTCGATCGGATTATAGTTGGAGACCCAACCTTCCGTTTGTATTGTGTTTTACAACAATAATAAACAGTATTTATAATTCGTGTGGATAAAATTCATCAAGTGGGTATGAATAGCATGGGCGTCAGTGAATGGGGGCGTTGGATGTATATTGGGACACGCTGTTCTTTTGAAAATGCCATCATAATGCCCAGACTCAGATATGTAATTTTCATGCGATGGTAATAATTTGCCGACCATGGAAGTGTCTGATGATTTGAGATTTTCATAATTAATGTCAAAGGTGCTTTGTCCTAAATTGTTCAACACCTCTACACCATGAAATAAATCTGGAATTCTGAACTTTTGTGTCACATTCATCGTTTGATCTGAAATCCAAATAGTCTTCGGTATACAGTACAACAGAAGCAAAAGAATTGACCTTGCCATTCCAATAATTTTGGAGAGACCGTATTTGGCTAACTAGAAGCACATTCACTTGTTAAATATGTGTATCACTATGCAATTTGTGTCAACTCTGATGTGAATATATATATTTAGGTTACTGTCTCTTGTGATATTTTCTGTTCCCAGATGTGCTAAAGCTTGTATTTTCAACCACAAAATATATTTGATTAAGACATTTTGTCTACCCACAGTGTTGGACTATGCCTACAGAGACTACATCCTGTCTTGGTACATTCCTTTGAGTCGCGATGAGGGCCAGTTGTACTCCATGCTGTCAGAGGACTGGTGGCAGATGATTGGGCAGTTGAGATGTCGACTTGCCGATATAGATCTTGTTAACGTGGTGTGTTATGACACCATCCGAATTTTACATACACACTTCACTGGCCTCAAGGCTGCATCTGCAAGGTACACACTTCTACCAATTCATTTATGTTCATAAAAACAAACAAAAATGAAAAATGTACAGAACCTGCAAGGTAGTGTGCTAGAGTAAACCACTGGTGTCAAACTCAAGGCCCGGGGGCCAGATCTGGGCTGCCATATCATTTCATGTCGCCCACGAAATCAAATTACCGGTATGTGCATTGACTTCATGTTTCTTGCTAAAATAACAAATTAGCTTCACTTTTAAGAACATTGAGATGTTGCAAGCATTGTTTACCAATCAAAAGTATTTATTCATAAATTTGTTGAGTGTAATATGAGGCAATCATTTATTTGCGTGCACAGTCGTAACGGCCCTCTGAAGGAAACCGTAACTGTGATGTATCCCGTTATAAAAATGAGTTTGACCCCTACTAAACTTACAAGAAAAAGTTTGTTTTACAGTGGTGCGGTGGAGTGTGGTGGTCGAATGTAATAAAGTAATTGTCACCTAATTTTTCCGCTTTCATTCACTCTTTCCTCTGTTTATGTTAGTGGAGAGAAATTACATGATCATCGACGCTCACTTTGTGCTGACACACACGTCACCAAAACACAAAGTCCAAGTATTCACTTATCAACTAGTTTCATTATCATATAAAGCCAGGGAAGCCTTAATATTACTGTACTGCCTTCCCATTTGTGAAAATGGTTTGGAATTAAATGTTTCTACCGAAACTCTATGCGATGCTTGGTAGTGATATCACTCGGACTTGAAGTACTTCATGTCAAGATGACAGAACCAGTCCTGTTCCTTCTTCATTGTGTGTCTTTTATGTGTGGACAGACCAGATGAAGGAGCTCGGCCATTTCCGCTCCATCCATGTTTGGTTAGTCCGGAGTCAGAGCTGGCCTTCCTTCGCTGCGTAGCCAGAATACTGCTGCTATGTGTGTTGCCACAAAAGGATGCAAAGTCTCACACACTACGCTGCTGCCTCACAGAAGTGATCACTACGAAAGGTATTTCAACTTGTTTATCAGTCACTGCAATACTTAGAAGTTGTTAAAACTAAATCTGAAATCAAATCATGCGGTTTCGAGAAGGTGCATAGTGCCTTTTGATTTGATTTCAATTTTAGCAGCCATTTTGAGTAGCTAGTAATCTAATGCATTCGTATTTTGAAAATAGTAGTTTGACTAAAGTTACTGTTCCAAGATTTCTATTGCATTCTTCAGTGATTAGACAACGCGATCAACATATAAACCGCATTAGAATGTCTTATCTCCAGGGCCGGTAACGGCAATTAAATACCTGTAGAAAGTTGCATTATTTACATGGCCAGCTGGATCATTGTTTTGCCCCTTTACAAAGGAGTCACTAGCAGACAATTGCCACTGGATTGTAGAAGTCAGCAACATGAGGCGGAAGTAATTGATCACCACACCAAATTCGGCCATGATCCGGATACATTGCTTACAGTAGTTGCATGCTAAACAAAACGAAAGATTCCTTTTTTGTTTAAAAACAATTAAGTCAAAAAGTCTGTAAAAAAACTTTTTTTGTGTGTGTGTGCGTGTGTGTACTACAGTTTTGAAGCCTTTGGTGGAGGTTCTTAGCGACCCCGACTCCATAAACAGGATGCTGCTATCTCAAATGGAGCAGCGGGAGCAGCAGGCTGAGCAGCAGAAGAAAGCTTACACCTATGCTGCCTCTTATGAAGACTTCATTAAACTGATATCAACTTCCACTGATGTCATTTTCCTCAAACAACTCAGGCATGACACTGAAATAATGCACAGCACATGCACAATTGATCCTAATGTCCTTACATACTGAGTGCAGTTTACGCAAAGATGTTTAGCAAACAGTGTTAATAGCTCATCTTTTTGCTGCTGTGGGCTGTTGTTGCCATGGGAGCAGACTATGCGTCTGAGGCAATATGAGAGAGCTCAATACAGAAAAAGTCATATTGCTGTTTTGTCTCATTAATCCAATATTATTTGCTAACTTCAGTCATATTACTCAGATTCAACACTTTCTCATTACATTAGGTTGCAAAAGATATCAAATGATTGTTCATGTAATTTTAGTCGTACTGTATTAAAGATCCAAAGACATCACACGATTTACTCAACAACCTTTCCTCCCTGCAGGTATCAGATAGTGGTAGAAATTATTCATGCCACCACCATCAGCAGCCTGCCACAGCTCAAGAAACAGAAAGGTACTATTTGTTGCTTTTCATCAAGATGTTTTTGGTTTTTTTTTCCCCCCTCAACTTCAGTCAGGCTATTTGGCTTACTTCTGGTTCTGTGCTGTTAAATTTTATCGCGTCAGCTTTACTAAATTTTGAACGTAAATCGTTAGCCTCATCAAAGTTAGTAATATTTTGCTTCTGTGAATATGTTTACATAAAGAATCCCTTAAAATTTGGGGCATCTGTGAACAATCCAAAAATGAGTGATTTAATGCAGTGGTCACCAACCTTTTTTGTGTCATGGACCAGTTGAGCAAAGTACAGTAGACCGGCAACCATTTTTTTCATTGCTTTTCAATTGCCAGCTTTAAAACACTAGTACTGACAACTAAGATAACCATAGAATAATTAAACATGTTAACCGATTTTTTTTTCCATTCTACTGTACAACAAATGTAAAATAAAATAAAACAGTGAACTATTAAGACACGGACCAATCAGAAATAATAAATTCGCTAATAATTTTTAAGTTATGATCTACGTACAGCGTTAGCATCGTTGCTACTTGCAAATGTGACTGATCAAAAGCTGTACAATTGATTGCTGCTTTCATCCAGTGGCGGCCGGCTAGTTATTAGAGAGGAAACTGCACGACACTGGGGGTCACCAAACCTTTTGAAACTGAGTGCTACGACTTCAGCACTGATCAATGCTAAGTTTGATACACATTGCTGAAATAACAAATGTGCTCAAATTACATTGAATAATATTACAAATTATTCATGCTAATCATTTATGTGAAGATAATATTCATGTTAACGGTTTCTCACAATAAGTGGGAAAGGGGTGCATATCAATATGCAACACTTTAGTTTATATATCTCTGCCAGTGTTCACAATGTCCCATTCATTTTGTTCTACTTGCTGCCCCTTGGTGATCTCTATTCTTAACACATCCTGGTATTGAATCTGATGACAAAAGATTTCACATTCATGTAAAATGTGTGAGGGTTTTCTACATTTTGAATCTATTCTGCAGAATTCTGCAGTACTTCAAGGAAGTTCGGTCAGCAATTGGGTTTTGAACCTGCCATGATGTGACACTGACGCCACACTAAGTAATTTGATCCCACTCCCTCGGTTTGTCTCTGTCTCTCCCAGAGCGTAAAGGCAAAGAATCAGCAGCCATGAAGGCAGACCTGCTAAGGGCCAGGGACATGAAACGATATATCAATCAGCTGACTGTTGCTAAGAAACAATGTGAGAAACGAATCCGGCTACTAGGTGGACCAAACTATGAGAACAATGAAGATGGAGGAGCCGATGACAGTGATGAGCCTCTCAGCCAGAGGGTACTCTTTTTTTTAAATTTTATTATTATTAATATTCTGTACATTTCTGACCAATCATTCTGGCTCATTTTACAGAATAAAGCCTGAATTATGATTATCTCATTGGACCAAATCCCATTTGTCTCATGTTAGCGTTTTTCCTCATGTTCAGATTCTCCTGTTCGATGACATCATGTGCAATCCAGGTTACAGGGAACATTTCAGAGATTACATGGAGAGAGTTGATAGGAGAGCTCTGATAAGCTTCTGGGAATTGGTGGAAACACTGAAAACTGCCAACAAGGTGACGCACTTAACCAAATATTGACTATACTAACTCAACGAAAGTTTGAATAAAGTACAGTTAGCGTGGGTGTGTGTCATTGTGCATTTGTATTCAACAGAATGAGGTGCCCCAAATTGTTGGAGAAATCTACCAGAAGTTCTTTGTAGAAAGTAGAGAGATTCCGGTGGAGAAGTTTTTGTTGAAGGAGATCCAACAGAGTTTAGTAGGAAACAGAGGAACTGAAGTCTTTGTGAGACTACAGGAACAGGTCAAATTTCTACTCCTAAAACTATGAGCAATAAAGCCATGCAATGTCCAAATGTTCTTCTACAGGGTCAGTTCTGTCCTTGCCAATTTCTAGGTGGCTGAGACAATGAGGGAGCGTTACTACCCTTCCTTCCTGGTTTCGGATCTCTACGAAAGGCTCATCAAACGAGATGAGCAGCACAGCAAGTCACAGTGTCGCACTGAGGAGAAGGACGAAGGGGTGAGAAAACCTGCACGGATTCTTACGATGAATGCACAATATCTGCACATGCCTCGGTGTGTACATTCCTCTTGGGGGTGTGCACATTTCAAGTTCTACGTCTTCAAGAAATATGTTTGTGTTGTGGTGTAGTGTCGGGCTCTAGATGCTGGAGAGGAGGTGTGTGATGAGGGCAGTAAAGGAATCAATGAACAGGCCAGCTACGCTGCCACTAAACTTCGCCAGCTGTATGACAAATTGGAGTATAAGAGGCAAGCCCTGGGCTCTATTCAGAATGCACCCAAACCAGATAAAAGGGTAAGGAAATATTAACAAATAATTAATGTTATTGTAACTAACTAGCTTTGTGAGGGTATGGATCGAATTAGTAGATAGATGTGAAACCTCAAGGCCCGGAGGCCAGACCCGGCCCGCCACATCATTGTATGTGGCCTGCGAAAGCAAATTGTGTCAAAAAAATTGAAATCTTTGAAATTATGAATGCTTTTACTTGACATTTGCTGTCGGTTAGCATGCCGGCTAAACTGTTTGTGTGTTTCTAGATTGTGAGCAAACTAAAAGAAGAAATAGCAGCCATGGAGAGAGAGCACAGTGAACTTCAGCGACATATCACCAGGACTGACTGGTGGTGTGAAAACCTGGGTCACTGGAGGGCTACAATTACCACTGCTGAAGTAATTTCTTTTTGATTAAATTTCTGATTTATCATATACCTTATCACAATTAGCCAGCTGATGCCCCACATCATTCTTTGGGTAGGAAGAAACAAGAAAAAATATGTCACTGGGTAGATTAGGTCTGGCAAATGCTTGACTGATTGCATGACAAATATTTCAGGTTTTTTTTCCACAAACAGTACAATCCCAGAGTGTCTTTTATTTTGTGCTATCTAATTAAGCATCGAATGCTACAGGTTTTTGTGAAAATTAATGTGTACCGTGGACATTTTAAAATGGTAAAATAATTTTTGACAAAATGAGTTGTTTTTTTTTCAGGCTACAGAGGAAGGCGGGGAAACTGTAGCTTGTTACAATGTGTGTGTCGACCTGTTGGAAGGTGAGGAGACAGTGAACAGCCGCTGGAGCGTCCAAAGAAAACTTACTGAATTCCATATGTTGCACCGCAAACTGACAGAGGTAACACAAAATCAAACACACTAATTCTAGTGATCATGTGGAAATATATTGCCAAGTCATTACTTGTGGCGATAATGGTGATGTCCAATATCACTGCGACCATTAATAATTACAGTCTTGTTCTCTCAGTGTTTTCCATCTTTGAAGAAACTCCAATTACCATCCCTCAGCAAGCTTCCCTTCAAATCCATTGACCAGAAGTTCTTGGATAAGAGCAAAACTCAGCTCAATACCTTTTTACAGGTAAATAAAAAAATATATATGATGTACAGTCACACAAAGGCCAGTATTTAGAATGCTACATGGCTATTCTTTTAAGAATTAAAGTGCTTTTTTTAAACAACTTTCTTTAGTCACATTTAAGTAGGGTTTTTTTTTTAAACTCTAGTTGTTTTCAGAAGGAAGCACAGAAAGATAAACTGCTCGCCAAGATTCAACAAAAAAATTCTAATAGTACGATAGATTCACTTCAAGTCAGTCTAACAGATCGATTGAGCTTGTTTGGTTCATGGCAGCTCAGTGGCCACACTGTCGCTGAGCAGTTCATAAAATTTCGTACATGTGTTTGCAGCGTCTGCTGACAGATGAACGACTGTGTCAGTCAGAAGCACTTTATGCATTCCTCAGTCCGTCTCCAGAACACCTAAAGGTAACCAATTTGTTCTCATTCTTCTTTCAAAGAAGCAACATGTACGAAATCAGTTTTGTCATTTCTGTGGCTATTAGCTCACACCAACTTTTAGAGTTAATTTCTAATACGTTTTTTCAAAACAGATATAAATGTGTCATCAAGGGCGACCCTTCATAGAATTGATCGTGATACTCTAAAGTGATGAAAGATGTCACCTTTACTAAGAGCTGTTTGTTTAATATATAGTACCAGTAGTATTAATTTGGTGTTGTATGACAGAAGCAATATAGTCCATTCATGTTGTGCTCCTGTCTGATGTTTAAAGGTGATGTCCATTCAGAAAAAGTCTTCTTTCTCTCTGGCCTCTTTCCTGGAGAAACTTCCTGGGGATTTTTTTTCTCATACAGAGGTACCAACTCATACAGGCTCCCTGGCCATCATTTGGACTGTGAGTGCCGCATGTGCTGTTATTGCTGTTTATAGGAGGAGGCAGACGACGATAGCGACTTGTCAGATTACGGTGATGAGACAGACGGAAGGAGAGATGCACTGGCTGAACCTTGCTTTATGCTCATTGGCGAAATATTTGAACTCAGAGGAAGTGAGTGCAACACTTCCTGCATCATATTTTGTCGCTTTAGTCACACTTTATCAATTTGAAAATTCTGTCTTGATGTCAGGCTAGCTTTTGTTCGAGGTGTGCGTTTACTTCAGAAGGAAAAATTAATTCTGTAAATCTCTACTTTTGTTTATGAACACTTAATTTAAATGCACATATTTCTGTTCATTCACTCAGTGTTTAAATGGGTGAGGAAAACCCTTATTGCACTAGTCCAGGTGACATTTGGACGAACTATCAACAAGTGAGTACAAGCGGAAAGTCAAAATGATATGAATAACATGTAATTCTGAACACGGTATCGTGCATATCCACTTGAACTTTTTGTCCTGCCCAACTGCAGACAGATCAGGGACACAGTGAACTGGATCTTCTCTGAACAGATGTTGGTGTGTTACATCAATATCTTCAAGGACACTTTCTGGCCCAACGGGATTCTGGCACCACATGTCAATGTCCGAACTGATGCTGAACGCACTGAAACCAAGGAACGAGCTCAACAAAAACTACTTGAAAATATTCCAGGTAGCAAATAAATATTGTTAGGTCTTTATTTCAAAAAGAGAGAAGGAGCGAAGTGAATTATTTAACTTTGTGATTTTAACATTGCTCTAAGTTCGAAACTGAAATGCAAGATGCACAATAACTGGTAGCCCCCCCACCCCCATTTTACCTCCTGTATGTCAGATGCATTAGCAAATCTAGTGGGCCAACAGAATGCCCGTCATGGAGTCATCAAGGTCTTCAATGCCCTACAAGAAGCGAGTGCCAACAAACATCTTCTCTATGTAAGAACACTACCTTTCTTAGTAAGGTTTTTTTTTCTTTTTGTCTGTGCAAGTGTAACTATTTTTTTTTTCTTTAAAGGTCTTGATGGAAATGTTACTAAAGGAAGTGTGTTCTGAACTCAGAGAAGAAGTTGAGAACATGTGAACAAGTACATTTTTACACTCATAATTTTTGTACTTGCTTATCTTTTATGCCCTCCCCTCCTTCCACGCACAGACACACACTCTCACATACACACTCACAATAAATATGTCTTTTCTTGCAGAATGTGCTGCCAGGAGTGAGATGAAGGGATACCCAGAGTTGGAAAAACAGGGTTTGGAATTTGTTTCAGTGGTAACCTTCAAGCATTGCGACTTTATTCATCTGTTTATTTTATCATCTATCATAAGTGGCAACTTCAGGAAGCTCCCTATCCTTGCCTGGGAAGATGATGTCGTGATCCTTTGGAAACATCAATGAGGTCAATATTAGAGTCTACTTCTTGTACTTTTACATATCTTTGCACAGGTGATAGTATCTCCAGAGCACACAATGAGCCTTGAAGATGATCTGAGTGTGATGGAGACATGATCAAAAGTCTTATTTTGTCACTAATGACAGACGACAAAGGCATCTTAATAAAATTGAGTCTTTTTTTTTTTGGAGTGGTTGCATAAAAAATATCAATTGGGGGGAACAAAAATGTGCTATGCTGGCCTTTGTAAAGTTAACCGATCATTACCGACAAAGATAGACTGACAAAGCAGTGTTTGGCCCTTATGCTGATTTGATTTGTAAAACTTGGCCTGTGAAATGAGAAAATGTTGGCCTGGCAAGCAATTGAAAGGCACTAATGTTAATTCTGGTAAAAATTGCAACTACAGTACACAGATTTGTATTATGTTCACTCAGACGAGACTAATTACAGGTATGCAGTTCACATTTATTCCAGAAGACTGGAACGTTGTTCTTGTGTGAATTGAGACTGTGAGACCTCCTTCTCCTTGATCATTAGCAGCAAACAGCAGATCTGTAGATCTGTATCACAACCAAGATTGTTTCTTAATCTAAAGCTAAGAAGGCAGCAACAAATTGTGACAGTAAAACACTTGGTTGTTGAGTCATCATGTTCAAATTGATTTGTGTAGACATTGATTCAATGCAGCAAAACAAATGAGGTTCAGGTTGCTTGTTGCCTTTGTAAAGTGACAAATATGTTGAATGCAACCTCTCAACATTCCTGCTACACAAAATCTGAGCAACACTTGTTCTGTGATTGTTGTACAGTAAAGGCTTATAATTGTGCAATATAATGCCATGTAAAAGTCATTGTGATTATTTTATTTATAATTATTGATAGATTTTATTTTTACCAAAATTGTTTAGAAAGCATTTATATAAGGAATAAATAAATGGAGAAAAAAAACCTTCACTGTGGTATTTTGTTCTCAAAAATGGCCTGAAAAAATATAAGCTCTTGACTAATCATCATGCTTTCAATGATGGGGAGACGAATGCAAGTCATGTCTCTTACTTTCCACACAAAACTGATTTCTTCAAAAAGCAAGTACCAAGCGCCCGCCCTTCATCCCTTGGATCCAAGAAGTGTCACACTTCCCGCCACTCCCTTAAAGATACAGGTAGGTCCCTGGTGATTGTAGAAAACCGCTTGATACAGTGTGGAAGAAAGGAGGAGCTGAGGAGTATTGTGGTGTTGATCGCCCCATGAGTCGTTGCCACCACGCAACAAGACAAGAAAATGTCAAACTACAGGAGGTGCAGAATAATGCTTTCAAAATAAAAGCGTTCGTTGACAGTGAAGCGGTTACCTACCGTGACTTCCGTTAAGGGGGCGTCATCGTTTTCCCTGTAATTCTTGTTGGCTCCGATTTCCAAGCAACGCACAACAGGAGAACGAGTGGCGCTGGGACTACAGGAACTTTTAACACGCGCATTCCCCAATAATTTACGGCTCAATCGGTAAGTACCGCTTTTCATTTTAAACGTGAAAATAAATGTGCTGGTCCAAACCCCAAATAATAAGATGCCAAGACGTTTTATTTTGACAAGTTATACCGGAATCTGCATTAACATTGGCGTAAATATTTAAGACGAACAAGGCGCCGCAGAACAGTTGCTAGGTACGAGCCATTCTACAGGTAAATAACGTGCATATTACGAACTAATGGGGAAGTTTGGCGAACAGCGTGAGACGTTAGTATCCACACATTTGATTTAATGTGAGGTATTGTTTAGCTTTGCTGGTTTAATTGTTCGCTTTAACTGTTATATTCAGGCAAACAGGTTAGCTAAACCTTAAACTATGGGATTGGATTAGCTTGCACAAAATGCAGTTAACCTAATTGATCGTTCGTGCCTTCAATGTAATAGCTGCGCTCGCTACTATTTATAAATACGTTTAACGCCGTGTGTAGCTCAATAGCTTATTGCTCGGTGCTTATGTGGTTGCCTGACAACGGAAATTAAAGAGCCAGCAACCGCATTTATTCATTTGACTGGGAATGAATGGACAGCACCTACAAATTCATTTGAACTAGACCAGGGGTGTCAAACTCATTTCACATGGTGGGCCACATACGGCCTCGGTAGATGTCAAGTGGGCCGGACCATTAAAATGATACAATACTTTGCTATAAATAACCAAAACAATATGTCTTTCCTTTGTTTTGGTATAAAGAAACACAAGAACATTAGGAAAATGTTGAAATTTAATGAACATATCTTTTACAAAACATTTCATGAAGCACCTTACATTTCCTTCGACAAATGTGCAATTTACTTTTATCATTCACATATATGCATTGCAACTGATCCCACTGATTGTACAAACTTTAACAAGTAATTGGTATTGAAAAATATAGTAATGCACTTTAAGATTAAACAAGATTCATAAAGAAAGCAAGTTTTAAAGCATTTACACGTGCATATAAAATCTAAATGTAATCCCTGCCTACACCTTACAAACTAAGGAGAGTGCTATTAAATGTGTAAATGTGAGAGTGCTATTGATAGCGTCTGCTGTCATGGGTCTGTCTCAGTGACAGACTGAGGCTGCTGTTGTCTTCTTCTCTGATCAAAACAGTGTCCCCTTGCGGATACTCAATGAATTGCACCTGATTAAAAATATTAATTCTGTGTCTTTAATGCATTTTTTTCACTTTTACATTATCCTGCGGGCCTGATTGAACCTACTTGCGGGCCGGTTCCGGCCCGCGGGCCGTATGTTTTACACCCCTGAACTAGACCAAACGGGTGTTTAAGCCACCCCGTTTGAAAATGTAACTCGTCTGACAGAAATCACTGGGTAATGTGATTCCTGGGTCATTCCAGGCAATTTAGGCATCAACATGTTTGGAAAAAGCCACCACTTCCTTTTTTTTTTTTTTAGAATCTATCTGCATTTAGAAGAGCGAGATTATCTTTTGTGGCTCACATATAGACGACAAAAATTTCCACAACAAATGCATGCCCCCGTCTTTTGTACATGGATTATTTGACATTTGGGAGAGAGGGGCAATTCTGTTTTTGAGATAAACGAGATGTCCTTAAAACATTACAAAATCAACTGTTGATGATATATGTTGGTTGGATTAGTTCTCTGCGTTCTCTGGTTTATCTCATTGCATTCGAGACTGTGTTTCACTACATTGGAAACTGCATGGCGTTGGATTCTTAAATTAAATGTTTTCATACCGTTGGATTGGAAGATGTGTACTAATGTTTCGGCCACCTCATTCACCAAGCATCACTCTCTGGGACTTTCTTCGGTAGGGTTATGATAAAGATATTGTGCATTGAACAAAAAACTTCAATATCTACTCCTCATTTGTAATAATTTCCACAAATGTGTCTATTCATTTGCTGTTATGATAAATTTGTGAAATTGTAAAGAGACTTTCTGGACATGTATGCCACGATGGTGTTTAGGGGATTTCAGGTGGTATTTTAAGACTGTACCTTTTGCCAGATTGAGATGGAAGATGAGCTTGAGCTCTTCATCAGGGAGCGGAAGGCAAGGGTGGCCCAAGATAGAGCTAGTTTGGAGCAAGATCCTCCTTACATGGAAATCCAGGTGAGTTGGCATATTCTTCAAAACCAGGCTGATCAAATGTTTTTTTTTTTTTGTCCACAAACACTCCAATATTTGACGTTATGGAAAGGCTGAACCCAATACTCTTCTGTATTATGTTTATTTTTATACTGTTGACGTGAGCCACTTTTCTAAGTAATTACGTATATTTTCATCTGACAGGCAAAACCTCATAGAAGCCATGGGTCCCTGCTCAAGGAGAACATTCCACCCAAGTTAACTGCACAGGAGAATGGTACATGATCATGAGGGCTGGGTGATGCACCTTTATTGGATCCAAATCGAAATATGGACATTCAAGCTATTAACATCGAAATGAGGATTACATCAGTTACTTGACCTCGCCACACTTGTGTAGCACAGAAAGCTTACACGCAAGTCGTCTACTCCGTGTTCGCCGACAAAGTATATATGGATGGTACACTTACTTTGTGTTTTATAACATTATGTGACCATATTCAAAATTACCAGTGGATAAAATAGCAGAGCTTGTGAGTGAGCCTCACCTTTCAATATATCTATAATAATATCGTTCTCGTATTGTTATTAAGATATCCGGCAAACATATCATGATAGTAAATTTTGGCCATATCACAGAGCCCTAATGACTACACACTAATCCATAGTTGTAAATTTAAAGGAGCCACATCTGCTTTTGGTTCATTTGGTGTATTTCTGTCAGAAGAAAGCAGCAATGTGGGTCTTCCCCTCGGTGTGGAGTATGAAAAGAAGAAAAAAAGGCTTCAGCATGAGCTCCGTATGGACTACAGACGCTACATTGCACAGGTGACAGATTTGTCATGCTTTCATAAAAGTCATGATTCATCCCACTGACAATTCCCAAGTGCACAAATAATGACAGCCTTTCAACTCCCTGCCAAGTGAAAATTCCACTACGGCTTGCGCCATTTAGAAAACTGAATTGATAAACGGGGCTCGACACTACGTTTTGCAGTGTTAGCACTGGTGCGACCAACTTTTTCAGTTGGTCCCACCGCATAGGATTTGGTAGCAACCATTTTTGGAGAGGTATAGCATGATCATGTTTGCTGATCTCATTTGGAACACCGTATTTTCGTACCATGTAAAGATGGACTCGACATGTTTGCAAAATATTTAGCTGTAATAAGAACTGTTTGCAACAAGCAGCGGCTGACAAAACAGGTCAGTTGTTTTATGTAACTTTAAAAGAAGACAAAAAGGGAAACAAAACCATGGTAAGGAACTTAAAACATAAGTAAAAAGCAGTGAAACGATAACTGAAAGCTAAACAACTTGGAATTACTTTTAGTTGTATTACCGGTAATTCAACAAAATACGAGGATACCAATTATAATGCTTTTGATTACATAAAAAAATACATTTTAAACATTTTTGAACCCAGAACAACAATTAAACATGGAATATCAAACTGTACATTACATCCCTCTTTCTCTAGCAAAATGGTGTCCTCAGACAGCGCCCCCTTTCACGGAGGGACGTCGGCACTCTGACAGAAGCCCATAAGGAGTCTCACAGAGCTCTTTCCCCTCCTGAGAGTCCCTTATACCAGGTCAGACGAGAGATGCTTGTGGACCAGGAGCCAGAGGGGGAACATTACACAGAGGAGAAGCTATCGGAGGTCACAAGTAGCAGGCGACTGGCGTTGGACTGCAGTTCCAAGAAGACACATTTCAAAAACGATGATGGGAGGTAGTTGTAACACAACTTTTCGCCTGTTTCTTTTTCTGTATGTTCTGTGTGCATCTTTTAATTAAGCTTCGGCATTTTCCCAGGGAGGAGAGTGAGAGTCCTTCAGGTTTTGCCGGCCAAGGTAGACGATCAAGAGCACTGAACAAATCTGATGAAGCTGAATTTTCTACTGGCCTTTTAATTGGTAAAAAGGACTTGCATAACACAGTTAAGTTGAACCACTGCCAACAAGCTGCCCTGTGACCTTCACAGTGATTCTGAATAAAATACTCGGACAACCCCTTTTCTTTCAGGAGAAATTGATACAGATGAAATTCTACAAAGGAGGAAAGAGCGCTACAGAGTGGAGCTGCAGGAACAAATAGCTGAGCAACACAGAAACAAAAAAAGGCAAGTGTATTCACCACAGGGCTCTCGACTAACTTTTTGTACGGGTTGTACTCATCGATTTTTGTATAAAATGCAAACTATCGTCCGATCCCGATCCAGTCACTCGCATTGATGTAAAGTCCAATTATGATTCACTTCCTGGTTTGGTCTCTAACACCTCAAGAAATGGGCAAAAATGTTGATCATTGTTTTCTAAATTTAAGAAAAAGAAGATGTTTGACTTGTGACAAATGACTTTGATTGAACAAAATGATAATCAGTCTGCTTTCATGGAGGACTATAGAAATCAGAATATTTTGTGTTGAAAGACTGAAGTCAGAGCCTTTGGACAATTTTTAAGTTAAACGATGGATCTAAACGATGAGTCGGTTGTCAAACGAGTGTTTAATTTTATAAACAATTGTTTTCCAATTAATTGTTGCACCTCCAAATGTGTTATGTTTAAGCATTTATTCATGTTGGATTCTTTGTATAGGGAGAAAGATTTGGAGCTGAAAGTTGCAGCAACAGGAGCAAACGATCCAGAGAAACAGGTCAGCATATATCTGACATAGGGTTTTACCATATATCGTTCGAACATGGTCATCGCAATGTACTTATGCGCAGTAGTGACATCACCGGTCCTGCTATGTAGGAGGCAAATTAACTTTGTGTTGTCATCTGCAATCAAGGGCTACAGGTACTGTATTTTCTACACTGTAAAGCACTTGGGATTATAAAGCGCAACCGATCCCACGCTGCCTGCACACAAGTCAGGCGAGTGTACCACTACACCATCAGCGACTTAGTGTTGGCGAATGCACATGTCAATTAGTGTCGGGCAGAACCCTTTCAGGTTCCAATTGGTTCCTGCTAATAATCACCACTACATGGCATAGGAACACTAATAGCGAAACAACTCATTTGCCAACTCAATATAAAGAGACTGTGACACCATATATAAGGCACATCGGGTAATAGGGTGCACTGTCAGCTTTTGGGAAAATTGAATGCTTTTAGGTGCACCTTTTAGTGCGGAAAATACAGTACTTTTTATTCAATGATAGTGCATGAGTACAGTTTGACAGATAACAAATTATGCTCCAACAAACAGGCAAAATGGTGTGTGTCAAAAAGTACCGTCAGGTGTGCTCATCCAACCTTCATATTATAAAAAGGCAATGTCACAATTCATTGACAAAACAGACAGCAGGAAAAGCAATCGTGGACAAATGAGCAGAAAAGAGTCAGTGGTAAAAAGTAAATACGTTAAGGCTGATAAATATATGGGGGCAACCGTCATTCAGAGCACAACATCCTTAAAATTGCCACAAATGTGTCAGGACAGAAACCTCCCTGAGTGGCCATATTTACTTCTATAAACGCATGGCACCATGTGACATGTTTTGTGTACAAGCGTGTCACTTCACGGATGAGTTCCGTTCCCATTAAAAGTCACATTTGTTTTTATTACGTGAACAACCACACAAAAAAAAATCTGATTGGGCATCATATCCTGCAGCGTGAACATAACATGTTCGTGGGCGATGTAAATGACATGGACTCTTAGGTCCTCCACTTCATGTCACAAAGCTTTTGAATGACATTTAACTCCTAGGTTATCATCTCCTTGTCACAAAGCTTTAATAGCAACCCTCTATCAAAGTGATTCACAGAGAACTTAAGTGAGACGTGTCAGGGCAACCGAGACTTTGAAAAGAGGGGCTTCGGGACACAAAAGAAACGAAAGACAATGTCCATGACAGACCAAAGCTACAGAAAGAAGACAGCTGCAGTCCTCAATCTTAGCTATGCAACCTTGGCAAGCGAAATGAGGTGATTTCCTTTTGTGGCCATAAAAAGACACTGTATGCTCCACTGTACTGTGTTGTTTTGATCTTGTAGTCAATGTTCTACGCATTTGTACTTAGTTTCCACAATGTTTGATGATTGTGCACAGTGTCTGATGGTACCAAGCTGCAAAGAAAGCAAAGCACCATCTGGAAAATTCTGACCACTTGAGTTCAGGGGCAACTTAAATCCTCATAGCACCTGTCCTGTATGGAGTTGTTGGCCACAGCAGAGTTTAGGCTCATCCAAGCATTTTAACATGATCTAAACCAAACTTACCTTTACAAACAACTGAAAACTTGTTTTTGAGAATGATCAAAATTGTTTGATTAAATTTACCCGTAAACGACTTTGAAAACCGTTAGTCAATTCTGATCATGTCTCTTGGACAGTCTGGTGATGCTCTCATTTATAGCACACTTGTGTGTGTCTGTGTGTGCACATTAGCCCAACCGAATCAGGCAGTTCGGACTGAGCAAGAGAAAAGAGTCTCGGCTGTTGGGGCACTCCATGTTGGGACAGAGCGAATCATCATCCAGCTTACCTAATCATGACAAGACCGGTGTTGGAGACAGGCTGATGCCTGCACAGAATCAGCCCCATGTAGCCTTTCAGTCTCCATTGTTGGAGTGCAATGGAGGTGGGCTGTCTCCAGAAAGACAGCCTTTTAGCCTCTCCTTTCCCAGAGTGATGGACACTTCCAGGTATACATTGTGTTATTTACTGTCACTTTTTTATGACTCGTTGTTGGAAACATTTTTGCTATGCAAGGTTTATTAACCAGAAGAGATGCTCATCCTGATTAGATTTTGTGATTGCGGAGGGACTACCCCCCCCCCCCCATTTTTTGAAAAACAATGTGTTTTTTTTTAACATTGTATAGTACTAGCCTCAGATTATAATTTTTGTTGTTGTTTTTAGTTGACTGGCCCATTCCTGTACATCAAATGACCTACAATCCTTACACCATGACAAAATGATCAGTTTAATTTTGTGTCATTCCTCAGAATTCCTTTGCTCTCTCCTCATCCTGCTCACATAGTCAGTCCCTATCGAGAGCCCCATTACAATTACAGCAACAGAAACTTCCTTGACCCAAACCTTGCCTACTGTGAGTACTAAACTCTTCTGTTGAATACGAGCCACTCTCTCATTTCATTTCAAACCACAATCAGCTTTCACCATTTCAATGAATCTCCCCATATAGATGGTCATTTGTCTTACCCTGCTGCGGGACTTCCCCTGTCTTACTATAACATGCCACCGGGAGGAGCTGTGTGCAGTCAACTGAGTGACACAAGCCCCCAAAGTGGAAGCAGTTTACCTGAGCCCACTCCACAGTAAATATCCTCGCTTCTCTGTTAAAGCTGTTTTTCGTGAGGACCCAATGTGCATCATATTAATTTGTTTTGATGAAACATCCTTTATTAATCTGTAGGCCTTGTTTGATTTTACCGCCCCAAAGTGTTGAATCTAGAATGAAACCAATTTAACCCACATTGTTATGAGTGCTGCCAAAATGTTTCAAAAAATGATGCACATGGCCACTACAGAGCCCAGATGGTTAAATAGTTGCAGCCCTAGTTGATACCCATCTAGCGATTATTTTAATAATTGATTAATCTCTTGACTGAGAGATTAATCAGATAAAAAAAAAAATCGTTTCATTTCCATCCCTTTATTTCAAGACATGACATTATTTCAAATTGACAGTGCAGAAAATTGACAAATATAAATTATGATTCAGTTACTGATTCGGTCTGTAACATGTCAGATACATTTTCATCATTGTTTCCCGAAGTAAAAGAAAATGTTTCATTTTGATTCAACACAGAGATAACGAGTCCATTTTCATGGAGGACTACATAACGCAGTTATTTCCAATTGCCTATTTAAGATTTCATCGAAGTATCATGTTAAGTCTTGAAATTTCTAATAGGTTACTAGGTTAAATGTTAGTACAGTAAAATGGTAAAATAACAAAATGGTCTTTGCAGTGCATGTTTTTTTTTTCCCCTTCCCCGATCCTGGCAGGCCCACTACTGAGACGGTTTCAACAGCCCCCTATACTGGGCTAGTCCCCCCAGAGAGACCCAAATCAAACAGGGAAAGGACATTGAACTATGGAGAAGCCCTGAAAAAACAGGTAAGGCGTATTGTAGAAATAATTAGTTTTGTTAGAAACGCTCTGCATAAACAATAACATCTGATTCCTTTCATTATTTTGTCATAATGCCTTTGTTGTAATTGTGCATATTGCTGCTGTGACAATTTCATTTCACCCATGGATGGATGCATCCCTCCACCAAAGACAATTCGATACGATTGTCAATACGTGGGGTACGATACGATTCTGGGATGTAACGATTTTAAAATGTTACAATTTGATTCAGTGGGATTACGATTTGACATGTTACGGCTGTAGTATTTGGTAAGATATTTACAGGCTGTAGATTTTGTCATGATATTTACAGTTGAACCTTGTTAGAGGGAGAAAAAAAAACAGGGTGTCACAGTGTACTAGTTAGCACCAAGCACAGCAGTGTTTTTCGAAGGCAGTGAATGTTGCCTTCACGTCAGGGTTCGTTCAAGGTCACAAACATTCACTCAACATTTGCCAGGCATTCACCTGTAGTTTTGTACTTTAGAGCTGACCTGGGCATATTAAGCATTTTCTTGCGACCCCCCCCCCCCAAAAAAAAAACTAAAACAAAAAAACTTGGGCGGCCATTTTGCGAACATTTGCGACCTTGTAAAAACTCTGACCGTGAACGTTCATTTTTCTACAATCGCAATTGTTCGCCCCTCAGTGGGGTAAGGGCTGTCAGAGCACTAAAACATGCACTTTGGACTGTGCGCCCGGATTATTTTATTTATTTTTTAATTAATTAATTTTTTTATGAGCACACCTTGAAAAACCGGGAACATTTAAAAGCCTTGCCAGTGTGGTATTTATTCATGTAAATTTGGCTCAGACAAACTGTGTGAAAATGTGAATTGGTTGAAGAGAAGTTTGAAGAGTGTGAGATTCATTCAGTGCATCTTAGTTTGTGATATGTTGGCAGAACGATGCCAGTGAAAGGAGCAGCAAGCTATTGAACAAGGTAAAATAGGTTAGCAGCCCTATTGAAACCTTGGATCCTCGGTTGGACAGACGTGTATTTAGTAGATGTGTTTGTTAGACTGTCAGATGTTAAATGCTCCCATGCACCACCATTACTGCTCCTCTCTTCCTTGTCTTTTCTGTAGTGCCTCTCATCATTTGTGTATGTCGGATCCTATTCTCGCCATACACATGTTTTATCCTTGAAGTACAGTATTCTCTTGTATCCATACAAAAAGGCAGGTTTTTATTATTAAAACATATCACTGGGGTATTTTCTGGGTCCTGCTAGAGCCCTGGATAAAGCAATTACGGTACTTAAGATACCCATTTTGATGCAGTATTCAGTACAGAAATGGACTTTTGTTGTCCAATGGTTGTTGCGCTAATGTTAAGTATTGTATCCTGCCATTATTTTGCATAGCAGAAGACATGATCTTAATTTAATCTTAGTGAGGAAAAAATACGCACCCTGACAAAACTATATAAACTTGAGGAAATTGCAATATTACTCCAAATTGTAATACGTACAGTAGTTAAGTTATTATGGGAGTACATTTGATGTATGATCGATTTGGTCAGATGGAATAGAAACCAAATTTAGCCACAAATCATCGAAGAATCACTGGTTTGAGCATAAGTAGGGCTACGTGGTCTTCATCTGATGAAAGGAGCACTGTTTGTTTTGAAGATTTTGGAGCAGCAGGAGCGGAAACGAGTAGAGAGGGAGGAGCGGGAGCGTTACGAGGCCAAGCTGGAGGCCGACATGAAGAGGCATCAGCCTTGGGGTCGAGGCGGCGGTGGAGCCCCACTCAAAGACAGTACAGGAAATCTCATCGGTGTGTCCTACTGTCACCCTCAAAGTTTTGCCTAATAATACCCAATTTGATAACTTCACTACACTCCTTTGTGTGTGTATATTATGGTAAGCTTTTGTTTTCTCGTGACCAGCTGACCTCAAGCAGATGCACAAGTTGAATGAAGAGGCCCACAGTAACCCAGAGTGGCAGCAACGAGCCCCAGCTGTGATAGCCCCCTGCCCAGTTGAGCACTCCAACTCCAAAGATAGGATCTCTGGTACTGTAGCAATGTTGCATACCGTCCATAATTCTGAACTGAAATCTTCCTCTTCAATCAAGCTATCGCTTTATCCGGACTACCAATCTTTGAGCAGTCCTGTTTAGAGTTTCACAGTACTGCTACTCAGAGCTGCAAGGAGTAGCAAAGAGCACATCAAGGAGTTGAAGAAGAGGATTGTTCTGCACTTTTTCCCATTTTTTCATCTTTTCATTTGGGTTGCTTTTATATTTATCTTTATTACAGTTATTATTCTGGTAGAAGTGTCCCCAGACAGGCTTTCTTACTTCTGTTACAGCACTCTACAGCAGGGGTGCCCAATACGCCAATAGCAATGACCGGGAGCCAGCGAATTGGTCCCAAATTGACCACGAGGGGTGGGAGGAGGAAATAGGAGGGTGGAGGGGGGGATTTGCGTGTCTGTGTGTTTCAGTTTCGTTCATGTTAGGGGCCATTCCGACTGTTGCTCGTCGTGGCGTGCATGCGTGCATATGCGCGTGTGTGCATAGTTGGGCACCTGCCCGCATGCCCAATCGGGTCGATCGCGTGAGGTTGGTTGCTTCAAAAGCTGATTTTCGGTCAAAAAAGTTTGCCCCCCCCCCCCGGTGCTACAGTATACTGTATTCATGTTATACAGTATGCTCAATTTCAGGTAATCAGTATTTTTAAGATAATTTCATTTTCCAGGTCATCGGACACACATGTCGATTGAAGAGGCAAGCAGTAACCCAGAGCAGCAACAGAGAGCCCCAGTTGTGGTTGCAGCCTGTCCAGCTGAGGATCCCAACGACAGGATCTCTGGTACTGTTGCAAAGAAAAGAATCAATGACAATTGTTCTGCTAAATATATTCCACAGCTGGCTACTTCAATTAGCAAAATGGAGTGGTCAAAACTAAGAAAATATTTCGCAGGTATGGCTGACATGACTACAGGTATTGCTGACAGCCTTAGGAGGCCTGAATGTGCTTAGATATGAGCTCTAAAGTTGTACATCATGTTGTGAATGTCTGTGGCCGATGTGAAGATGTTTGAAGTAAACTCTAAATCACGTGTGTCCAAGTCTGGTCTGGGCCAATATCTTTTCTGCAATCCCAACTAGCGGTAGTGTTTGGATCAGAAGAATGAGCTGGGATACAACTTGGTGAGCGCATTTAGTGCAGTGAAATACACTGATGGCTGGCCATCCAGAGATTGTCTTTGGATAAGAAATGACATTTGGACACAGTCTTGTGACTTAAACATGAAGAATAAAATGGAATGTGTTGTGGGAAACATGAAGATGGGGAGAAATGCGCCCCCCCCCCTCCAAAAACAAACAAACAAAACAAAAAAAAAACCCGAATCTGAAGCGACATCTTACAAAACGGGTACCCAGGTTTGGTCCTTGAGAGCCCCTATTCAGCCTGTTTTAGATGTCTCCCTATTCCAACACACCGGATTCAAATGAAATCTTTTTTTTCTTAATGCATTGCCGAGGTATTGGATCGTGACTCGCTTTTGGCAGATACTTAAAACCGAAGACAAAGTACAAATTTGGTGACTAGTGTAATGTAATTTTTTTTATTTTTCCCCATTTTCCCCCTCAATATTGCAATTGCAATTTAATGTGCTTTTAATTTTTTTTCAATATCCTCTACCAATGTTTTTTTAACAAACTAATCTATTTCATATCAGATTTATAATACATACAGCGATCCCTCACTTATCGCAGTTAATGGGGACCGGGACCCTGCCGCGATAAGTGAAACCCCCTCCCCCCACACCCCCCCCCCCTCTCCACCTAGGAATTTTTTTGTAAGTGCATGTGGGTAGCAGCATGTTTAAAATATGTAAACAATGATTATACTTTACATATTTGAGACAAAGACTACAGCAGTACATGTATTTAATTTTTAAATTATAAAACCTTATACAGTAATTAACATTCATCAGTAATTAACATTCATCAGCGTTGCCTTCTGAGTGAGGCGAACGAGAGTTAACAGTGTGATGAAACACACCGATCTGAGAGTCAACAGCGTGATGAAACACAAGGGAAGGGGCTGGGTGGGGCTGCGAAGATGCGCAGCCAATCAGCTCACGTGATGAGCTGATTGGCTTCATTTAGAAGACAGTTTATCATTCAGAATTGTTAACTTACTAAATACTTTTAAGGTGTTTAAGCATTCACAACCATTTCACAAAATTCTATCAAACAAATGTAATGTAACCTCTGTATACCCTCTGCCCGTCTCAGGACGATGGGGTGCAGAGCTTTCAGCCGCTCTGACCCCAAACTCTGGAACTCACTCCCACCCAACATCCGAAATATTGATTCTCTTCCCACATTCAAATCCCATCTCAAAACCCACCTATTCAAAATCGCATACTCAGTTTAAATTAATCTCTTCTTTTATTATTTATAATTTTATCTGTAGTTTTATTGTTCTTGTTTTGATTGTAAGGTGTCCTTGCTTGTTTTGAAAGGTGCTTATAAATAAAATGTATTATTATTATCAACATATATCAGTAAGTCATAAATCAGATTACAATGATGATACAAACAAATCTGTGGCTTTATTATTTCCATCTTTTCATGTTTCATGAAACAATATGTAAACATGTGAAATACATTTCTTAAGCACCACACGTATCTAGACACTATACCATTGAAATTACATGTATGTAAAAGCCTACTGTCCAAAATGAATCTGTGTCCCTTCCCAAAAATTACAGGCTTTTTTAATTTGAAAATTGCATTTTACTCCATTGTGGTGTCGATTTGAATTAGATTAAATGAAATATTATCGGCTTGACTTAAAATAATAATATTTTTTTATTTTTTAGGTTTCACTCATATTCAGACGCCCCAATTTTCCAGGGGCAGTGTGTTGACCAACCAGCCAAGACCACAGCAACTCGATGAGCAAGACAAGTACAAAGCTTACCTGAAAAAGCAGGTATCTCGTAAAGCAGCTTTCGTTCAATATGACTGATTTTGATTGGTAAATGACGCTAATGCAAATCAGAATCTTTTGGTCTTCAAACTCCAAACTCAGAATTGAGATTCGATTTTGGTTGTTTGACCGGAAAGAGTGCCATTTTGTTAAATTGCACACAGATTTGGAAATTCGACAGGTCATGACTATCATCTGGATATTGTTGCACACAATTTTGTGTGGCTACCAATGTATTGTCTAGCAACAAACTAAAAGCAGCCACCATTCCCCTTCTCAAAATTGGCCTCATCCCTCCATGCTCCAGCATACCTCCTCGGTAAGGCTGATTTAGGCTGGGAATTTAGATAGAAACTGCCTTTGCTTTCAGATTGAGGAGAAACTTCATAAACAGGCAGAGGAGAGGGAACGGAACAGACTGGAGGATGAAAAGCTTGAGAGGAAGGTGGCAGAGCAGATGGCTCGTATCAAGAGGGAATATGAAGAAGAACAAGAGAAGAAGAAACGGAAGGAGATAGAGGTAAGGTGCTTTTTGTTCAAAGGCACCTTGCCCAAAAACTTAATTCTGGATCATTTTGTGGGGTGTGTGGAATCTGCATCACAGCAAAAGGCCAAGGAACAAGAACAGCTTAAGCTGGTAGAACAGAGGAAGATGGAAGCAGAAAGAAAGAAGACTGAAGAGAGGGAGAAAGCAGCGCAGAAGCAACGTGAGCAAGCGAAGCATGCTCAGGTACGTTGACTCTGGTCTCCGTTTGGTCACATGTCTCCCCTAATGAATTGTTAGGACAATAACAGGTAAATGAAAAATGAGAATTTTTTTTTTTTTTTTGAAATGTTGCAATGAAAGTCACAAAAGATTCTACTAATTCGATTTTCCCCAGTGGGTCATACTGTATATATCATTTATTTTTTAACTTTAGGTTCACCGGGAGTCGTCGGCTCCAGTTCCAACTCTGCAGAAGAGTCCCAGGTCATCAATTGTTGAGAGCCGTTACTCCACTGCTGCCCTGTCTGTGAGTCTCACTTTTGCGCAAATAAATAATATAAAAGTAAGAATGCGGACATGATTCTAGCCTGCTTACAGAGTCTGGACAGAGCAAGAATCTGCTTCCGATCTTGTTAGCTTATAGAACAGAAATGCTTTTCTTTCTTACAAGTTTCTTTTTTTCTGGTTGAAAATGGCGTGTGTGTGACCCTGACATTACCACTTTTTTCTATTTTTGTCTTCAGGAGCAATCTATGTCTGGTCACAGATCTCCCCCTGTTCCAGCTTGTAGAAATCAACTACGAGCTGCAGGTGCGTACATGCAGAGTGTGTTAATATTATTACTAGCAAAAAAATTATGAACTGCTTTGCGTCCATAAAATTAAGTTGAACTCCCTTTCGGGTACAATTTGGAGCCGTATTTTATTAAATTAAACTTCCCATGGTACTCTGCTTTCATTCACATAAATCCATATCTATACAAAGACGCTTCTCTGATGTGCGTTAATAGTGATTACCAAGTGATTTAGCCATGCATGTCCTGCTCTGGTCCCAGGTAGTTGGTAGTTTAGTGTGTTGGTTAAGGGCACCTCTGCAGTGCTCCATAAAAACACCATCTCTCTCGCAGCGTGAACATATTCACCACCTTTTTGGTACTCTGTGCGGAAGATCCAGCAGTAGTTGGAATCGATCTCAAAACAGCAAGCATTGATTTTTGAGTCTTTACCCAATAACTGTCAGCAATGTAAATTTATAGCATGACATCCTAGCCTTACACCAGTTATAATCATTCCAACAAAAACTAGTACCACGCAACAATTACGTCTTCTGAGCATTATATGTTTTCTTTTTGGTGTGTAACACTTATTAGAAGACCATGCGCTTTGTTTAAGAAAATTGAGAGTTTGTGTTCCCATTCTATTGTTGCTTTCACCGAATTGATCATTCTATGCATTGTTTATATTTTCAGGCAGTAAACTTGACGTGTACAGTGAACTGTCAGCGTTGCGTCGGCAGCTTCGTGCAGAGCAAAAGCGACTTGAGAGTCATCTGCAGCAGGGCTTTTGTGATGAAATGGACCCCGTAATGACTGGAAGGTCAGATCCCTTACGTTTTCCAATGTTCAGCTGACAATTGCAGCATCGCCCGAAACAATTTCATGTATAGCAGTGAGACAGAAAATTAATGCTCCCGAGCTTGATTTGGATTAAACACCAAGGTATAATAAAAAGCAATGCTAAAAATAGCTGGGTCTCATTATTTGCAGTGATGGATAGACTTATATGGCTGTGTAAATTTTCCGTTGATTATTTAAAATGTTTCTCTCTCCATTAACACAGACAATCACGTCCACGAGTGGATGTTTTTAATATGGCGATGCTGCGGCTCCAGGCTCCGGTTCGAAAGCCCCCCTCCAGAAACATGGAACCAAGTAATCTGCTCCAAATTCATGACTCGCTTCAGCTCGATTACACAGGTTGATAAACTTAAGCTTTTAATTGTATTATTTTCAGAATAGATCACGGCAGCAAATTACCCCTGACTGCTTCGTATGTGTATGTCAGGTCGTGAATCCAGGTTGAGCTCCGTGGAGGTTGAGAGGATGGAGAGAGTGGGCGCGGCCAGCAGGAGGAGGCGTGTCTACAATGAACCGCATCAGAAGCTCAGTAGCCAGAGGCCCTCATACACGCATGGTCGGAGAACAGTGCTTCTTTTTAATTCTACTTAATATAGATAAAGTAAACTTGACCTTTTTGAGTGTGTCTGAATGATGAACTGGCTTCATGAGACTGCCATGTCCTTAATGATAAAAAGAAAAATTCAGGAATGACTCAAGTTATTCAAAATATGTAGGGGTGCATCTGTAGTCAAAAGTTCTATGGCCACTCACATGGTCACAATCTTCAAAGGCCTTTCTACACCATCTGCCACAAACGTTGACACCACATGCATCTGTGCCATGGCCCCAAAGAAGGGAATTTGGATCAAATGTGTGCAAATGCATGCTTTTTAAAATGGAAAAAAAGAAGTCCAATTTTAATCTGTATTTCTTTGGCGTTGGGGGCAACTACGCTGAGAACAATGGATTTCATCCCACTGGTCTTTCATCAAATTATGTTTCATTGATACTCTTGACCAATACAGGGCTCGCTAATAATGTGCCTGCTGGCACTCGGTACCCCAAGGACATCTGAGTAAGCACGTTGGTCTCTTCTTAAAATTGCTGACCAGTAATGGGACATTGTGATTTCCCAGGAATGCTGTAGAAGTGCTCATTGGAAAATATAAAAACTTGGAGAGATTTGGACAAAAAGTATTGCCTAGTAAAATAAGTGTCTTTGTTAAATCCTTTGACTTTTGTGGCAAATCCCTTAACGTGATCAATGTCTTCACAGAATATGATTAAAGGTCATTTGAGCCAATTTGTTATTTCAGAAGGGTGTATCAAACTGGTAATTTTTTGTACTGTAGGGGTAGCTTTCATTTCAGTTGATTTGAAAAGGCTGTAAAATACATTTGTTCTTAACTCACTATCATATTGGCTAAATTGTCATGTCTTTTGTCAAAAAGTCTACCCTAATTTTTCCAACGGGATGCCATATGTACAAATACGCAGTATGGGTTCTGAGGTTTTGTTCCATTTGTAATTTGTGGAATGAGTTCAAAGATTTGACACTAGGCTTCTTGTAGTGAAAAATGTAAGCCATTTTTTGGAGGTGTAAATATAAATGTGAGCAATTTGTTTTTGCTAATTGTGGAAGGCATAAAATAAAACTTTTGTGTTTCAGGCGATTTTGATGTATGCCCTACTCATCAAAACGATCTGGTGAGCGACAAATAATGGTTGCTTTGTCACCTCAGTATTTCTTCTGTGAACTTCACTGTAACCTTTAGCGTGGAGTTGTGAATGGGGGGGGTTTTGTGTTTCAGGAAAGTGTGATGGGGCGACATGCAAGAGGATCTCTCCTCGAGTCGGATAGCGCTTTTCTTGGTAAGAGAGCTGTGCTTGAAACTGATTAACTCAAAGCAACTTAACATGGGTTGTTTTCAAGAGGTCAAATAATACAGTGTTGAAAAAAATCTTTATTTTCAAACTTTGTCCTGTGGTTAGGTTTGACTAATTTTCTGATTTTGGGTGTTCTCAGCCCCTTTGGGAGATGCTTTTTCTGTGCCAAGCTCCCCAGAGGCTGAGACGACGCTGCTCTCAGCCCGGGAAAGGAGGAGGCTGACCAAACAATCCCAGCATTCTCTGGTGCTAACCTTTCCATAACTTAGTGTACATACTGCAACCATGTTATTCATCTCAGTGCTCCTGTGACATTTGTCCTGTTATAATGCAACAATGATGAGCCTTTACTCATTACTAATCTTTTGTTTCACATCCTCTGATGTTTAGGAACTAGACAACCCCACCCATTCAGGTAGCAGGAAGCAAAGAGAAGCAGAGTCGAGCGGCGAGGAAAAAAGCCAGGAAAAGATGTCCCCCGCTTGTGGGGGCAACAGAGCCGGTACAGCCTGTGACATATTTAGAAATGTTAAAAGCTATGTGGATTTATAACGAGTGACTACTGTTCCTTGATCTCCAGGAACAGTGGACCTATCTGATGATGACTTGTTGCCTCCCCAAATTTCTCAGCTCACTCACAACCGTCAAAGTTCAATAGAATCCTTCTCGACTGATCCCTGGATGCGACCGGGTACTTCAGAAACTCTCAAATGTTTAGAGGAATCCATGAAAAGGGACCGTTTGACAACATAGGAGCCTATCCAGTCTGTACCTGACTTACCACATGATATTTCTGTTTAATAAATGACAAAAGAATGGGTCAGTGGGAATTCCTAATCAATATCTTGGTGTCAATATTCACTGAGTTTACAGGGACACTTTATTTTACAATGTACTGATGCAATAACATTTTCAATAAATTATTCTTATGGCTATTTTATAACTGGTTTTCTTTTTTCAAATAAAACTTGAATGATGGTGACGAAGTGCAAACTGCTTGATCAGGGCCCACCGGGGGTGTGTGTTTGTGCGCGCGCGCGCGTCTGTGAGTGTGTGTGTGCGCCTGCGCGCGTGAGCGCGTGCGCGTAGATGCAAGGCATCATAGGACACGTATACAAGGAGTGGATGCTGGAAGGACTCGGGGTGTTGTTGGTTGAGAGGGTTAAGACGATTTCTCCTGCTCATTGGTCGAGAGAAATGGAATCAGATGACGTAGTGGTTCCGGGTTCGTGAGTCCTTAGAAGAGGTAACTCTCGGTCATTCGGAATGGAGACTGGAGTCACGACGAGCCGGCTTCACGCTGTCCAAGGTAAGAATGGCGCCAGCCTGTCAATTAAGCTGGATATCACTCGCTTGCTGCCCACTATAATCCTATTAGCGACTTTATCCGTTTGTAGCTTGAAATGGCGGTTAATTGGAGAGGGAAGTATTGAATAGGTTTAGATCAAACTGGTCTCAATATCCGTTGCTTGTGGAGGGCGGGCATCAACGGTTGCTCAAAGCCGTACTGACGCACTTGCACGAGCGGCGGCTTTTGTCCTCTTTGCTTCCTATTCTTTGACAATCAATACGGAGCCTATTGAGCCGATTTGTTGTTCATATTATGCCACAAATAAGGTTGGGTTTGAATCTTTTTTTCACTGTGGCGCAAGTCAACAGGAAATGTGGTAAGTCTGGGTGATAATGAAGTCACAAGAAGGCAGCTTAGCATCTCTGGCGTCAAAACTACATTGAGTGATTCACCTCATAGACATGAGTCAGCCAACGTTCCATAACCTGCGTCACGTTACGCCGTCCCTTAAAGGCTTCCAGGAAAACGCAGTCCTTTCATCACTTTGATGTCTTTATTTTTTAAGTTCAGATCGTAGTCCTTATGCGATTGTGGAGGAACGTTTTTGTGGGTTTTTTTTTTTACTTTTACATTCAGGCTCCCTGTAGCAGTTTTATAGTTTTACTGTAACACGGTCATGAGCGGGTTCACCTGAGAGGTCAGCGAGGAGGAGAAGGAGAGCTTGACCTTCGCAGGGTGGGGTGAGTCCTGCGTCAAGTGATTGGTTGGGCTACGCTGTCACTTATAAAGCGCTTTTCTACCTCGGGCACTCATAGAGCTTTACACTGTTACCCCATTCATCTACTGATAACGCAGAATCAGGAGCAACTGGGGGTTCAGTATCTTGCTCAAAGACCCTTCGACATTGGTCGCAATGACCCGAAACGACCACGCTAAGTCCGAAGTCCGCTAGCAGCTCCCTGATCGCATAGAGTCACTCTAATTGGGCTTTTTATAGATGACGTGGCCTGATACTGCTGAATGTTTGCCATTGTGAGTTTGAGCTTTCACACTCATTCAGACTTTGACATCACTTGACTGTTTCTTATGAATGGACAGTGAAGCCAAAGAGTATCATCGTGAGGATAAGCGGATTTGAAAATGGATGGATGGATAAAATTCTAAATTATACTTTACAAATTTCCTGGGTCCTTTGGAACAGTGCCAAAAAGAGGTTTCCTCAAAAGTGTTGTGAGTACGATGAGTAATTTTGTAAATGTATCGAAGAGACTAAAGTCTTAAAAGGCATTGAATGCATGAACCTAAAAATGAGCCTTTAATGGGCATTTAAATGTCAAATCAGTCTTTCAGAAGTCTAATGTTAACACATGAATAGTAGGATTTTACGAATTTTGTTTTAAGATTTGACATTGTTTCCGTTGTTAAAGAACAGCGATGTGATTTTGGTCGGGTCAAAAGATTAGACGCATTTCATTATGCGTGGTAGCAACCTGGACAACATGGAACAGAGGGAAGTACTGTAAATGTAATTTCAAATGTATTTAAACAATCTTGAATTTAACTTTGCCACCTGTCTACTAATTAGGATTCTTTTTCAGGTGTGATTTTGAAAATCTGACATGTGCCCTCATGGTTTTAATGGGTTTGATGTGCAGTAATGATTTTTAAATCAATAAATAAATAAAATCGTCCCAGTTTTAAAAAGATTTTGGTTTAAAAATGATCAAATCATTGCAGTTTCAAAAAGCATTGTTTATTCAAATTCATTCTGCGTTGTGGAGCTTTGGTTTATTCAAAAAGGTGTTTATGCTCTACTGTCTCTTGTTCATTTTTTTGTCATTTGCATAATGTAAAATTAGGACTATTTTTATGGTTTTTCAGCAGAACCTTGAAGCTTGAACACAACCGGTTTTGGGATACTGGTAGACCGCCAATTTCTTGTATTCTGCAACTTAGAAAATAATGTACTGTAATAGAAATAATCACTCACACGGTCAAACCAAAATTATGTTTAAAGTAACATTTTAACATTCTTGTAACTATCATTCAAGTATTCACTGTTTCTATGTATCAACAAAACAGTTACAACTCCCAAGGACAAAATGTATTGACGTCACAGATGCACTGTATTTTTCAGCAACAGTAACTGTTGTGTAAAAGGAAAAGTAAACCTCTAATTAAACAGTGAAACCACTCCCTTGGATAACAGCTTACAATGTAGACAGCGTTGTCTTATTGCTAGCTAATTCTTTCAAAAATAAAATACACAAAGCAAAGCTGTATCCTTTGATGTTGGCTTAAAAGTCTTGCATGGTTTATTATACACACTGTACATCATGCGTGATGGTGGTTGTGATAACCCCCTTGGCGCTGCATCAGAACGACTAGGAAATAAATGTTTCGGACACAAGACGTTCCTGCATCCTATTATGTTTTGTGCTCAGATAGCAGCCGCAGTCCTCTTGACATGCTTGATGTAACTGCACTTACCTAAACTTAACAGTTCATATTTCTGTTCCTGTGTCATGAAAGGGCATTTAGACTTTTCTTGGTTTGGTGTAATGTAAAATTGTACTCTGCATGTCGCCTTACTTGCTCTGTAACAGACTTTTGTCTTTTCTTTCAGTTCAATACTCTGGCATCTGAGGGACAGTGGACATCAAGCCATCGCTGGGCCTCTAAGGCACATAGTGTTCTACCCTACCTTTTTTTTAGAGCAGCTCCCCATCTGAAGCAGGGCTGCCACTCTACCTTCCCCTCCTCCCAACATAATCCTTCTGTAACGGTATGGGTTTTCAGTCAGATACTGTCCAATCTCTCCTCCTGTTTCCTGTCCACCTTGTGGTGTGGCTCTACTCTGTCATCTCCTTCCTACCATGGTACTACATCACCGGGGCTGGCCAGAGGAACACAATGTCCAAGCGGGTCAAGGCCCGCTCCACTACAGGCTGTGCGGAGGGACCCTACCGCTCCGTGGATCACTTCGACAAGCTGGCCAAGGAAGACCTGCCTGGCAAGGACACTCTAGATAAGTTGTTCACATTCGCTGTGGAGCGCTTTGGAGATTCGCCGTGTCTTGGCACCAGGGATGTCCTGAGCGAAGAAAACGAGATACAGCCCAACGGGAAAGTTTTTAAAAAAGTTCGTATGGACGTCTTTTATTTGCTTGAGGCTTACCTTCTTGGTTTTGTGTATTTGATGACTAAAGGCTCTGGTTTTGCATCTTGACTCCTACTAGCTGATCCTTGGTGATTATAAATGGCTCTCCTACAATCAAATTGACTCTCTGGTCAGTCAGTTTGGCAGCGGATTGGCAGCTCTCGGACAGCAACCCAAAAGCACCATTGCAATCTTCTGCGAGACCAGAGCGGAGTGGATGATAACTGCCCAAACGTGCTTTAGGCATAATTTCCCATGTGTGTATTATTTACAGTGTGTCTCCAGTGAATTTTGTAGAAAAGGCAACATACACGTGTTCAGTCAATAAATGTTCTCTCAACAGTGGTGACATTCTATGCAACATTGGGAGAGGAGGCAATTGAGTTTGGACTGAATGAAACTGGAGTTTCACATCTTGTTACCAGTGTGGAGCTGCTAGAGACCAAACTAAAAGTGAGTTTTTATCCCTTGTAACACATGATTACCATCAGCTTTGCCGTTTCTCAACTTCCTCTTTACATTCAAATACAGGTAGTGGTTGTTCTCATAGACAATGTGTGTCAAATAATTGACGCTAAAAAAATTAAAATGAATCCCCTTCGGGAAAGAGTTCCTACGAAAAATAACACACAAACTACACCATTAACAATAGAAATCTTTCTTTCAAGTGGTATGTCCGCTTTGGTAAAATACACCGAGCGCCGTGTGTATGTGTGCATATATAATGAATTAAATACAGACTGAAAATGTGGCACATGACAATGCTCTATGTGTCAAAGTCCGGTCCTCAGGGGCCGCTTCCCTGCATGTTTTCCATCTTGTCCTTTTGCAACACACCTGATTCATCAGCAAACTCTGCAGAAGCCTGATATTAATCCTGTTCATTTGAATCAGGTGTGTTGCAACAGGGAAAGATGGAAAACATGCAAGATGGTGGCCCTCGAGGACTGGAGTTTGACACCCTAGCTCGGGGGTGGGCAATCCCAGTCCTGGAAGGCCGCTATCCTGCTTGTTTTCTCATCTCTCCTTGTTGCAACACACCTGATTCTAATGATCAGATTATCAGCAAGCTCTGCGGAAGCTTGATATTGAACCACCCCAAAGCAAATTAAAGAGGGCTATATGCAGTGATCTTAATGGCAGTTAATAACTAGTGCATGGATAGTAGTTCCTCCACCACTGGCTAGGCCTATTACAACTCCAATCAGCAGACTGTGTAGTTGCGCTGATGTTTAAAGTGAATCAACGCTTTGTCCTTTGATGCCTTCATTTCCATGCTTTGTGGGTTTCTATAATATTCGGTAACCACCATGAAGTCCTCAATGCTTTCTTCCTTCTCCATTTCTGGTTGCTGACATCCTTTCTCACTACGTTTGTAATTTCTTGGTGATGTATTTTTCCAGTTATCACTCCCTGTTACCAGTATTTTATGCAAATGTTTTCACTGTACACAAGCCATGAAACCAAGTTCATAGAGAAGCTGCGGTCTCTTATTCGGAGAGACGTCAGCAGTTTCAGAGCAATAAACTTATGCAGGCATTTTGACACCCTGTTTGTGCTCTTGTTTATCCAGAATGTGCTTCCAAATATCCCAAAACTGAAACATATAATCTATGTGAACAAGAAGAAAATGACCACAGAGGGCTTCCCAGCAAGACTCTCTATCCACAGTATGCAAGAAGTGCAAAATCTGGGTGCGCTCCCGGAACATGGTGCGTGTCCTGCAGTCACACCTTGGAGCATGTACAGACAGTACCGTACCGAGAGAAATGATCATACCCAGTTTGAGGTGTTTTATTTCCTCCTCAGCATTTTCAAATGAATTCTACAGCTATCTAGGAATGTGCTTTGCCGCAGAAAGTATTTTTTAAGTGGCACATACCTGAAATGACACGGAACACATAAAACCACCAAGCTTGCACGCAATGCAATGTCGTTTGAGTGTCACCTCAGGCATCTTCCTCGTTCTTTTGTTGAAACATTGTACGTGCTCTGATCACTGTTACTTTATTCGGTTTTTCCGTCCAGAATTTCAGAGTCCTTGGCTGCAAACATTTCCCTCTTAATTGCCCCTCATAATATTGTGTTAGCAGCAACAATGCTTCTCAAAAGTTCCAGTTTGTTTCGGGTTGCGTGTCGTGTGTAGAGTTTCAACAATACTGTTTGGTGTTGATTCCATTAGGTCAATTTTGGTCGCAGCTGATCGTCACAGCAGTGTACTCATTTAGTTGCACTTTTATAATTGTCTATTCTTTCAATATAATCTTTGGTTTTAACTTTTTAAAATTGGGTATCTCCAGACAGATTTACTTTCGCAAGTTCGTGTTTATCATATGGTATGATAACTTCCGAGGGCACTGTCAGGAATGAGCAGAAAGAAACAGTAATTGTAATACACAATAATTGCAATCATTTTTCTGTTGTGTTTTGCAGCAAGAAAGGAAGTTGTGAAACCGCAGCCGTCGGACCTGGCAGTGGTCATGTACACCAGCGGTTCCACTGGGCGTCCCAAAGGAGTCATGATTATCCACAGTAATTTGATTGCAGGAATGACGGGCCAATGTGAGCGCATCCCAGGACTTGGGTACGTTTGAATATTTACAAAAGCAGTTCAAACTTGAGCTGTAAATGTATAACTTTGCAAATAATCATTAATTTAGAATTTTATGGCTGCAACACGTTTCAAAAAAGACTGAAAGTGCCATGATTGGGTATGGCATGAGCTTCCCTGAATTGCTCAGTCATTCATAAGCAAAGATGAGGCGCTAGGTTCACCTCTTTAACAACTGCATCTGAAAATAGTCAAAACAGTTTAAAGACAATGTTCGTCAATGTACAGTTGGCAAGGAATTCAGGGATTTCATCATCTACGGTCCATAATATCATCAAAAAGGTTCAGAGAATCTGGAGAAATCACTGCTTCTAAGCAGCAAGGCCCGAAAACCAACACTGAATGGCCGTGACCTTCGATCCCTCAGGCAGCAACGCATCAAAAACTGTCATCAATTTGTTAAGGATATCACCACAAGGCCACGGGATCACTTCAGAAACCCTTTTTCCAGTAAATACAGTTCAACGCCACATTTGTAATTGCAACTTCAAACTCTACTATGCAAATCAAAAGCCATTTATCAACAACACCCAGAAACGCCACTGGCTTCTCTGTGCCCCAGCTCATGGAAGACGGACTGATGCAAAGTGGAGAAGTGTTCTGTGGTTTGACAAGTCCACGTTTCAAAGTGTTTTTGGAAATTGTGGACATTGTGTCCTTTGGGCCAAAAAAGGAAAAGAACCATCTGGACTGTTACGGACGCAAAGTTGAAAAGCCAGCGTCTGATGATATTTGACTGTGTTGGTGGCAATGACATGGATAACTTGCACATCTGTGAAGGCACCATTATTGCTAAAAAGTTATATACTGTCCATGTTTTGGATAAACACATGCTGTCATACAAGCACAGTCTTTCTTCATGGACGCACCTGCTTGCTTCAGCAAGACAATGCCAAACCACATTCTGCACATGTAACAACAGCGTTGCTTCGTTAAATAGTATCAGAGTGTGGGTAACAGACTGGCTTGCCTGCAGCCTAGGCCTGTCTCCCATTGAGAATGTATCCGCAAAACTGCACTGCATATTTTTTCTATTACATATTTTCAAAAAGAACCTCTTAGCTGTCAACACAGTATGTGCTTCACAGCTGCCAAAGAAATGGTGGAATGGAATGTGATTAGAAAGAAAAAAGCAAAGTTGAATAATACTGTTTGATTAAAAAAAAGGCAGGTTTTATATTACTGGCGGTCTGTATAATTTTTAGCAATCATGAAACTTTTTAATAATGTTGTTTCAGTTTAATTCTTTTTTTTTTGGGGGGGGGGATATTTCGAGCATGTTGGCATGATTAAATGCTTTATCTATTGGCTTGAAACCGAAAAAGGCGAATGCCACAAAACACAGCAGAGGAATAGCTTTACTGTAACGTTCCGAGTATAAGCCACAACCCCCCCCATCTTTAAAGTTCTGACTGTCAGAGCTGCTTGGAACTTTTTTGACTCCTGGTTTAGCCCGTGTTTTAAGAAAAGGTCCATCTCAAACAATTAGAATATCATGGAAAAGTTCAACTAAATTAATGAAAAAAAAAAGTTTCAGAAAGGGAAACCCATTCCTTTATATCACTAGAGTGATATATTTCAAGCATTTTATTTTCTTCAAGTTGATGATTATGGTTTGCAGCTCAGGAAAACCCCAAATTCAGCGTCTCAGAAAAATGGGAATATTGTGAAAAGGTTTATTGTAAAGTCATGGCGTCACACCCTCATCAGCTAATCGACTTGAAACGTCTGCAAAGGTTTCCTGGTCTCAGTCTCGGTCAGTAGGCTACACAGACTCAGGAAAGCTGTCCATCGACACACTCCACAAGGGGACGCTAAGCCAAAGGTCATTACTGACTAAGCCGCTTTTCCGCAAAGTGCTTATTCCAAGCATGATCATAGAAAGTAAAGGCCCACCAGCAAAAGGGATAACTGCAGCCTTGGGAGGATTGCCGGGCAATATCAATTCAAGAATGTGGGAGGGCTTTACATGGCGAGGAGCCGTGGACTGAGGATGGAATTGGCTCATCAAGAGCAACTATGAATCAGTGAATCATCCTAGACATGTTATCATGTCAAGCCCCTCCCGAATCAGAGACAGAAGCATCTTTCCTGAGCTGTGGAGAAAAGGAATTGGACTATTTCTCGGTGGTTCAAATTCCTCTTTTCAGTTGGAAGTAAATTTTTCATCGAATTTGGAAATCAAGGTCTGGAGATAGAGCAGAGAGGCACAGAATCCACGTTTGAAATCCACTGTGACGTCTTCGCAGTCAGTGATGAGTTGGATTGCTTTATCAGCTTGCAAGAAATAAAAGCTTAACATATTTGAATTTTAGGTGACATGCTGTACATGCACCCCGACATTTATGATCGCATAATTAAAATTAGTCGGTGCTGCGGTTTTCACAAATTCTAGAACAGCTTCAGTTGCCACAATAAGACATTGCTCTGGAAATACTAAGTCTCTTATTTCACAAATGCATAAAATACCAATAACTCTTAATAATGGGAAAGAGCAATGTCGCAAAAAGAAAAAAAGGCTGTAGTTCATATAAACCAACCATGCTTTTAAATGTTCCAATCATAACACGCGATGTGGCTACACAGTACACAGCTGCAGGCTCTCACCTTCTATTTTTTTCTCCCACAGCCCAAAGGATATTTACATTGGCTACCTGCCTCTGGCTCATGTTCTGGAGATGACTGCGGAGATCAGCTGTGTCACATACGGATGTCCAATAGGCTACTCTTCCCCACACACGCTGTCCGATCAGGTAAACGTCCCGCACGGCACTATTTCAAGTCAATTTTGCATGTTGACCCTAAGTGTCGTCGGTTTAGTGGATGTGATCATCTGTTCTTGATCTTCTAGTCCTCAAAAATCAAGAGAGGAAGCAGTGGTGACACCACTGTGCTGAAACCCACGCTGATGGCAGCTGTGCCCGTAAGAATCCTATTGGTTTTTTTTTTCCTCTTGTCACTTTGTTGCATTCCCCCTGCTTTTAGCTCATCATGTCTTATTTTGCCCCACAAAATAGGAAATTTTGGATCGCATAAACAAGAATGTGATGAACAAAGTGCAGGAGATGAGCTTTGTTCAGAAGATGGTGTTCAACCTCGGCTACCAATACAAACTGAAGCAGATCAAGAGAGGCTACGATGCACCGCTCTGCAATGCGTAAGGACCGTCTGTGGCTTTCGAACAAACATTCTCATGTTGCTACTCGCAGCGTTAAAAGTAGAGCAGCTGGTTGAACTTCTTCAAATGATGAGGTGTGACACATACATATCCTTGTGCAGCCTGTTGTTCAACAAAGTGAGGAAGCTGCTGGGCGGGCGAGTGCGGTTGATGCTGTCGGGAGGAGCTCCTTTGTCCCCAGCTACACAGCGGTTCATGAATGTGTGCTTCTGCTGCCCCGTGGGCCAAGGCTATGGCCTCACTGAAACCTGTGGAGCGGGCACCATCACTGAGGGTAAGGTCACTCCAGCACTGATCAGAGGCATTGTTTTTGGGCTCTGGCTGCACACGGGTTTTTGGCTGGGTCTGGGAAAAACAATACTGTGGCAAAGCTACTGACTGCTTATCAGCATTTGTGTATCCAAGTCTAGTGTCGTGATATTCTAGCCAATCAGCACAGGAAAGTTATGAAAGGAATGCATACAATACAGTACTCACATATTCATATGTAAATATATAAATAACACATTTTCAAGCTTTAAACAAGACTCTCTAATCTCAGTAATGTTACCAATTTATGTTGTATGCATGAATGTAAATCTATTATAATGGGACCAGGGGGTTATTTATCCCACCCCAGCCTTTTTCCAGCTGTGCTTCACAGGTGACTGTGGACGGAAAGATTTTGTCAAAACTCTATTGTATGTGTGAAGACTACATTTAACAAAGGAAATTAGTATGTACAGTGGGTAGGATAATTCTTTGATCTTCTTCATTACAAATACAGTAAATGAATACTAGCGTATTTTAACACTGAGAAACAGACTTCAAATAATACTGATCATAAAATATGTAAATTGTCATTTGCTCGAGAGAAACAAGAAACCCACAAAACAGTTGACATTATCTTGGAGGCACGCAAGCTAGCCACACTCTTTCTGAAGAAGAACCTGACCACAAAATCACGGTTTTCCATTCCAACTGCTGAAAGACTGGAAACGCCAAGGTGCCAAGGGATTTGAGGTGGGGGGGGGCTGTTAACTTCACGTGGCTGGAAATATTGATTTTTAATGGATCCAACTCTGAATTTGCTTTTATTAATATAAGAATACAAAGTAACCAATTGCCCTTGGTCCTGCACTTCCCACACATGGAGTAAGAATAATTGAGAAAAGTGAGAGATCAGCCCGGAACCAAGATAAGAAAACCTTTATTGTCTGACAATATAATAATACATTTGCAATTTACAGCAGCAAAGTTTGGAGGGAAGAAAGTAGAAAAAGTAGAAAACAAGTATTTGCATTCACAAAATAAATTTTTAACAAAAAATGAACTGTACACAGTACAGAGTGCAATATAAAAAATACAAAATATAAGAGAAGCATATATGCAATTGCGTATTTATGCTGCACCACATGGGTGGATCTTGTTCATGTCCTAAAGGTCGTTGGTAACATAGCCAGCAATTAAAAGCCATTAGTTATACGCTGTAATGTAATAAAATCCTGCTGTTAAGGTCCCCCTGTTTGAAATGGCACATGCACAGGGCACGTCTCTGTCTAAAGTGTGCAAATGAAAACTTGAATTGAATGATATCAAAAGTTTGGGTGATGTGGTCAGATGAGACCAGATTTGAGATCTTTGACATCAGGTGCCCAAACGCTAAAAACGGGTGGTGGAGTGGCGCATGACACTGAGACGAAATTTAAAAGTGTGGCCTCGCCTGTCTTTTAAACTGTAATCCTGTTGAACACTGGCGCCCAGCTCAATTCCTTTGTGGGCCGTGCATTGCATTTTCTTTTCAACAACAAATTAAATGAGAAATCGGAAGCTATGGAGACTGGTGACAACCAAATGTTAAGTATACACTTTTTTTTTTAATCTTTAAGAGATTTTGTGTTGTGTGTAAAAAGTGAAGTGCAGTTTCAGAACCAATGTTCTTTAGCAAGTAACATGAAGTACCGGTAGACGTATTCTATTTACTTTAGTGGGGCTGGGCCACAGAACATGATTCGTGGGCTGGATCTGGCTCCCGGGCCTTGAATTTGACACAGGATGTAGATTATTTGTAGAGGTAGAAGAAGCTTGGCGTTTGCAATTAACAGTTGAAGAGGAATGGACGAACGTTCCTCTGAAATGTGTGCAAACCTAATGAAGAATTACAACATGTCTGATTGCAAACAAGGGCATGTCTACAAAGTTATACTTCGCTTGGGGATCAAAAACCCTCGAAGCACATTAACATTCATGACTTTTCCACTCTCTCTGTAGAAATACACCGAGCATCAAAAAATGGACTGTGATCAGTGGACACATACTCAAAATCGGCAGGGGGTGGATGATTTTCTCATTTTTATTGTTCTGTCATACAGTTGCAGATAGAAGCACCGGCCGTGTCGGAGCGCCACTTATTTGCTGTGAGTTGAGATTGCGGGACTGGGCTGAAGGTATGTCTATTTAACAGACTTGTTCCCTCTTGTTGCACATTCCACCAAAACAACCGTCAGTTGCGGTGTTAATACATTTTATGCTTCTTCATTTGGTTCTTTGAATCAGGCGGCTACACCAGCAAAGATAAACCGAACCCCAGAGGAGAGGTCCTGATTGGCGGCCCAAATGTGACCATGGGTTACTTCAAGTATGAGAGTAAGGATGAGGACTTTTTTGTGGACGAAAATGGTCAAAGATGGTTTTGCACTGGAGATGTTGGCGAGATTCATTCAGATGGCTGTCTACAAATAGTAGGTGGGTATCATCACAAAAATGAACGGCAGCCAATGCCGAAAAAATGAGAATTTTTTTTTTTTTTTTCCCCCAGACCGTAAGAAAGACCTGGTCAAACTGCAAGCAGGGGAATACGTGTCTCTCGGTAAGGTGGAGTCGGCCCTGAAGAACAGCTCCCTCATAGACAACATCTGTGTTTACGCTAACAGGTGAGTCACGTGATACCACTGTCAATTCTTGCAAACATATCAACAAAGTGCTCGTGTTCCATTTCAAGACCAAAGTGTTGCTTTTGTTGCAAAAGCTAAAACCAGATGTGATCATTGCATAGGAAATAAGAGGGGAGGAGCATTTTTCCTATTAGCGAGGAAAAGTTACCAGTAGGTGGCAGTAGTGTCAGTCAAATGAGACACAATACAAAATCTGACATACATGAGGAGTCTTCAATCCAAAAGTATGGAATACTGTTACTGTAAATAAGTGACTGCACGCTACCGGATAGCACAGAAACATGATAGGGTACTCTGAACCATTCAATATGATTTCACACTTTGCCATCAACTACCTTTGTGTCCAGAATTTTGGGACACATGATACATTGCACACTACTAGAAACTTAGGAATGTCATAATTACAGTAAGTGCAAGTGTGACACACATATAGGCCATAAACATAACACATTCAAAGTATAAATGATTCAGAGATGAAAGTCCTCCGGATTTTCCCGGAATTCCGGGTTTTTCAAATTTTTATGAAAATTTCTCCGGAGAATTAAGGAAGATTTGCATAAAATTAATCCGGATATTAGTTGACAACATTGAACGAAGATGCGTTTGAGTTCGTTGTATTGCTTTCACGAGTGTAGCCATATTGAGGCACTAACACTAGTAACAGTAAAGAGATTTTTGTTTGTGAAATAACGACAGAAGGCATGATGGCGTTTGACTAATGGTTTCGTAGAACGAATGGCAACTCGCAACAACAGTAGCAAGCGTCATTTTGCCTCTTGGGTTATACCATCTCAACTAGAACGTGGGGGATACTCCCCAAACAATTTTCGTCTCTTTATAAACACACCTGCTAAACCCCAGTGGAACGAATAAAAGACGCCGTGGACAAGACAGTTGTCGTAAAAAATATATTTGGCCAAAAAGGGAAAAACACAGATTGGCAGAAAATCGTGTCCGTCCGATTTCGAGTGTCGTCTCGGCTAACTTAGCTTAGCTGTTGTCGTGTGTGACGTCATTTGCGTCGACGCTGATTGGTTGAAATTAAAAGACGCGCTTGCGTACATGTTCGCGCTGAAGCACGCTCGGCAGAGAGCAGCGGACTATCGACTGCTGAGGCTCGCTTAGCTTGAGTGG